TCAGCGGTTGAGCATCAGCCTGCGGACCAGAGTTTCCCAGCTTCAGTTCCCGCTAGGGGCACGTACCACCAAAAAAAAAAAAAACTCAGTAAGGATAGAGAAGATTTGAAATTCCCTGGTCCAATGTTTATAGAACACAAACTCAACAGCTGCAAAATATACATTCTTTTCAAGGGCACATGAAACGGTCATCAAGATAAACCATATGCTGAGCCAGGAATATGTTCCAATTTTCTAAAGATTGGAATCTTACAGAGTATATTTTCTGATAAGATATCTAGAAAAGCTCCAAATATTTGGAAATTAAACACCATACTTCTAAAAATGAAAACATATCATTAAAATTTGTAGGCTGTAGCTAAAGCAATGCTAAGAGAGAATTTCATTGCATTGATTTCTTTCTCTTTTTTTGCATTAATTTCTTACATTTAAAAAGAACAACGGTTTAAAACCAGTGATCTAAGTTTCTACATTAAGAAGTTAGAAAAAGTGCAAGTTAAACCCAAAGTTAGAGGAAGGAAATAAATAAAAGCTAATCTAAATAAATAGAAATATATCATGTTCATGAGCAGAAGACTCGGTATCATTAAAACGTCAGTTCTCTCTAAATTAATCTGTAGATTCAATACAATCCCAGTTAAAATCTTAACAGGCTTTTTTTTGGTAGAAACTGGTAAGATGATTCTAAATTTTATATGGCTAATTTTAGAATAGCCAAATAACCTTGAAGAACAAACTCAGAGGACTTAGACTTCCTGATTTCAATAGAAAGCTACAATATCCAATAGAGTTTGGTATTGTCCTAAGGCTAGACAAAGAGATCGATGAACAGAAGAAGCCTGGAAACAGACTCACACATATGTGGTCAAGTGATTTTGAACAAAGATGCCAAAGCAATTTAATGGAGAAAGGAAAGTCTTCAATCAATATTGCAGCAATCAATGGTGCAGTTGGGCAATCAATGGTGCAGTTGTACTGGGAAACAAAACTACAAAAACAAAACAAAGCCTGACACCACCATTCTAGTGCCAGTGGCCCTGGGGGCAGCGTGCCCAACTGCCCACGCCTCTTGACTGCCCCGCCGCAGTGGAAAGCCGCAGGTCCAAGTCCTCACCCAATAACAGGAACGATACGGACTAAGCTCAACATATCTCATCTCTTCATTTACCTCAATTTTTGCCAGAAGAAAACATTTTCCCCAAATCCCAGGACCATCTATCTACTATGCTCCAATTTCCTCCCCAGACTGCTCTGCTCATTTCACCACCGATCCAACATCCCACCTGCCCTTTCTTCCAACCCCTTCCCCTGGGTTCTCTGTAACTTGCTCCAAGAGCCGCCAATGACTCACACACCTCTTCCTATTCTCACAGTGCGGTGGCCTCCACGCCCGAAACCTGGCTCCCTGGAAGCTCTCAAGCAGAAAGGCCTTACACCAGATGACGCAGGCTTGGCCGTGGGAGTACTCACTTCTTTGCTCCCCTCCTCGCCGTGTGTCCTCCAGACAGTCCTCCCCCACTCCTGTGGAATACTGACTTCCACTTTGGGGTGCATGCCTGCTGATTTTACTACCCTCTGATTCCTTCCTCCATTCCGCTCAGTCCCCTTATTGAACAGAGAAGACTTAAGGGAGTCCATGGCCGGCCTGTCTTCATCTGTACACCTCAACACTGGCATTCCTCAGCTCTGGCCCCTCCTGTTCTTTAAGGCATGTTTCTCAAAGGCAGCAGCATTGACATTTGGGGCTGAATCGTTTTTGCTGGGAGAAGGGGGCTGTCCTGTTCCCAGTGGGAAGTCCAGCAGCATCCCTGGCCTCTGCCACCAGATGCCAGTACCAGCCCCAGCAGACAACCACTGCCTTACAAATTATCATGTCATGGTCTCAAATCTCTCGCCTATCTATATCCAGTTTCCCATGTGACATCTCTCAGAAGTTTCACCAGCATGTTAATCTTAACCTGTCCCCAACTGAATTTGTTTGAAACTACTTTCCTCTCTGCTGAACCATTAATACAAACTGGTCACACTGGCAGAGATCCCGGCTTATTTAGAGGTCAGACATCATGCCCCACAGAATCTAACCTTCAACCAGAACAAACTGGAAAGAGGCGAAAATTGCCACAAAACAGAAGGCAATTTAAAAGTCCACAAATGTACTTCAAAACATGACTTTGTTGAGGAAATCCAGTTTCTTTGGGCGTGTCTTCCTTTGAGAGAGGTATTTTCAAGACGATATACTTAATAGCACCAAACAGTGAAGTTTTCTTTGACTTTCTAATTTATTCTGGAATCCCACCCCTTTGTGGAATCAGGTATGCAAAATAATTAGGGTTTGAATTCCACCCCTATGTTTCAGCCAGATAACTTGCTAAGTAGGATATATACATACTCAGGTTTCAAGGAAAAGAAAAAAGTAATTACAAAAAGTCTGGGCCATCCAAAGCATTTCATGCTGGAACTCTGGGCACACCTCTATGAATGCACGGGCACCAGGACAATCCACTGTCAACACAGCTGTCACGAGCACGCAGTACAAGGGAAAATGGTCTAAAATCTAGACAGCAAGAGATAAGGGCTCATGGAGAGTTCTCAACTGAGTCACGACTACTCAAAGTGATATAATTCCCAAGCAAGTCCAGTTATTCATTCTACACTTGAAAATGAAAATAAAGAGGTATGAGATGGATAGAAAAATTTTTTTTGTTCTAAAGGAAATATCATGAAAATTAACTAAATTTCAAAGAAGAATGAGAAAAGTCAGAAAATGTTTTTGTCTATCTTCGTTAATCTAAAGTCATTTCTCTGTGCAATCTTTTTTTTTTTTATCCTTACCCAAGCACATTTTTGCATTTATCTTCATAGAGTGGGAGGGAGAGAGGGAGGAAGAGAGAGAGAGAGAGAAACATCAATGTGAGAGAGACACATCGACTGGCTGCCACCCACATGACCTCCCAAATGGGGCTGGGAGCGAACTGCAACTGAGGTACATGCCCTTAGCAGGAATCGAACCCAGGTCTCTCTGGACTGAGGGCCGACACTCTAACCACTGAGCTAAACCGGCCAGGGTGCAATCTTTTTTATTTTTTTTAATCCTCACCCGAGGATATTTTTCCATTTTTTGTTCAGATAGAGTGGGAGGGAGAGAGAGAAACATCAACATGAAAGGGACACATCGAGTGGCTGCCACCTGCACGACCAACCAGGGCCGGGGACAAACTGCAACCGAGGTACGTGCCCTTAGCGGGAACCGAACCTGGGTCTCTCCGGACCGCAGGCCAACGCTCTAGCCGCTGAGCCAAACCGGCCAATCTTTTATTTTAAAGACCCTACCACCATCGCCCTGGCCAGTATGGCTCAGTGGTTAGAGTGTTGGCCCATGGACCAGAGAGACCTGGGTTTGGTTCCTGCTAAGGCACGTACCTTGGTTGCAGTTCGTCCCCGGCTCTGGCTGGGGTCGTGTGGATGGCAACCAGTCAATGTGTCTCTCTCACATTGATGTTTCTCTCTCTCTCTCCATCCCTCTCTCCCTCCCGCTCCATCTGAAGATAAAATGCAAAAATGTGCTCAGGTGAGGATAAAAAAGACCCTACCACCTACTTCACTGCTCAGGGGGCAGAGATGTCCAGCGGAATGAAAACAAAGGCCTTTTCAATGGCAGGCCACTCCTAGCTCCGGGGCTGATCACAAGCTCCCTTGGTGGGATTTCCGTAGATTCAGCAGGACCAGGAATTGGTACTCAACGACCCCTACTAAAATGACGAATTCCCAATAATGCGCGTACTTCCTCTCGTTTACTCTTCAGGGCTGAACACAGCTGGTGTAAGAATGAACACTCGCTCGTTCCCTCCACATGCTACTCATCAGACTTCCAAGAACTGGAACGAACTCATCCCCACTTTTTTCAAAAACCTTTGGTGAAAAGTCTGAAGGTACAAGAAATCCATCGATTCCGAGTCACAGAGAGCCGTGGCCCTTCATCACAGGATTAGAGCCGCTGCTTCCTGCCTGGTGCGCACTGAACGCCAGTTTGGCCAACACCGATCCTTTCCTTTTAAGGAGTCTCAGGAAGCTGGAAAGCTCTCTTCAGAAAAAGCAATCACTGGTTCAAAGCCCTGGCAGGAAATCCCCAGAAGGATGCATTTTACAGTATGTAAAATATATCTCAATTTTTTTTTAAAGAAAGAAATCATAAGACCTCTGAATACTCTGAAGTGGCTATGGTCTCCATGAACTGACTAACTGTCAGTTTTTGCCCGGGCGCGCCTGGTTCCACCCTCCATGGAGGGGAGAAGGCAGACGAGAGCTAGAGCCGTCTTTCAAACACCTTTCCCTCAGTTCAGCTGCAGCTCTGCCACCCACGGGGCCAAAGAACAGTATTCCAAAAATACACGTTGAGGAGTACCTTACAGACCCTAAAATAGCTTTCATTCAACATTTTATATAAACGATATAATCTATTCAAATAGATGCTAATTATTACACTTTTAAATTTAGTAATTTCAATTTAAAAAATTGCTCTTACTCTATTTTATTATAATTCTAGCTCAACTTCTATTCACCAGATGAACAAAAGTCATAATAAAGAATGGCTCTATTGGCTTCATAGTAAGATATTTAAGCGAAACGAAGCCTAAATACTTCACAATAGTGAAGTACAAAGCACTACAATGACGATGAAATTAATGTAAATATTGAAGACAGGAAAAGTGTGCTATTTTCTTTTGCTTTTTGTGTGTGTGTGTGTGTGTGCCCTTGACTGGGAATTAAACCTGAGACCCTTCGATCCACAGGCCTATGCTCTAACCCCTGAGCCAGACCGGCCAGGGCCAAGTGTGCTGTTTTCAATCTCTGGGCACCATTTCCAGATGCTACATGAGGGATAAGCTTCGATGAAGTAAAGCTGCTAAGTTTCACAACAATCACGCTCCACTGATTTCATTTTCCATCACACATGTAAACGCCAAGAATAGAGCTTATTATTTTAGGGAAAAACTACTTACAAGAGATAGCAGCACACTGAACAGGTCACCAACATGGTGATGATAACTCTAAAAAAAACCAAACAAAACAAAACATTAGATAACTTGCAAACTATGCCACCAACATTACAGGATGGTTCAAGTCCCCTTCCCGAGTTATCAAATCAGCAAGGACTATGCACCCAGAAAATGCACCTGAATCTGTCCCAACACCTGAAGACTGCAGTGCACCCTGGGGTACATTTAGTAGAGGTTTAAGTAAATAGTTAAACATTTATCTGTATTTGAAGGGATATGTATTTATGCCACAGCTTAGATGTCTAATCCAAACCCACTTGAAACCGAACACAAAAGCTGCAGTGACAATTCGTTTTGACATCCAAGTAACTACCCAACCCATCCTCAAATCTGTCATCTCTCTCTCTTTTTTTTAATCCTCATCCGAGGACATTTTTGCATTTATCCTCAGATAAAGCGGGAGGGAGAGAAAGAGGGGAAGAGAGAGAGAGAAACATTGATGTGAGAGAGACACATCGAGTGGTTGCCACCCACACAACTCCAACCGGGGCCAGGACAAACTGCAACCGAGGTTTTGTTTTATCCTCACCCGAGGACATTTTTTGTTCAGATAGAGTGGGAGGAAGAGAGAGAGAGAAACATCAATGTGAAAGGGACACATCGAGTGGTTGCCACCTGCACGACCCAACCAGGGCCGGGGACAAACTGCAACCAAGGTATGTGCCCTTAGCGGGAACCGATCCCGGGTCTCTCTGGTCCACAGGCCGACGGTCCAACCGCTGAGCCAAACAGGCCAGGGCAAATTTGTCATCTCTTTGCTCATGCCTCCTCTGCACCCTCACAGTCACCAAATGTTGTGGGTTAGTCCTTCGAGCATCTTTCCCTATGTGGATTTCTTCCTTTCCGTTCCCACCCTTAGCACCAAAATTTATCAGTTCACCTGGCTAACTGTTAGCAGAGTCAAACTTTCTTCCTTCCCTTTCATTCTATCCATAATCACCCCAGATTAATCTTTCTAAATTGTTCCTTTCATCACATCACTCTTTGGCTTAACACCTTTCAATGCCCCCCACCATCCATAAGAGTTGTGTCCAACAAGAGGCCTCCATACCCCACAGAGTAAGCAGGACTGTTTCCTAGAAGGAGGGAAGAAAATATCAGAACTCCTATTTATATTTTTAACTCATTCTTTAGAAGTGCTGTGTGTGTGTATTTTCTACAGTTAATATACTGGCACATCCATTCATTCATTCAACAGATTTTCACTGAGTGTCCAGTATGTACAAGGCTCTGGGGAGACAGGAGTGAAGGAAACAGATGAAAATCCCTGCCCTGGTGAAATTTACTTGTTAGTGGGGGAAGACAGACAACAGACAAGTAGGACATTAAACAAACAAATTTGATGGATGGAGCAATCAATCTCTATGCCAGAGTGTCAGTAAGTGCAGAAGGAGAAAAATAAAGCAGAAAAGGAAGACAGAGATGTACAGGGGTGTCGGAGATAAAAGTGCTAAGAGATGTTCACACACTCACGTATTCGGATAAAGCAAATGTGAATACATAACGATGACTGGCTCTAAATGGTGGTGTACACGAGTCATCCTACTCTTCTTGCTGCCTGCATGTTTGAAAAGGTTCCCCATGTTTGAACACAGGAGCTTGGAACTCCTGGCACACCATTCCCTGTGCTGTCTCCTCATCCCTCCCCAACCTAGTGTAAGAGAACCACTATGAAAAACCTGAAGCTTTTAGAGACGTGTGAACTCCTAAAGAGAAACAAGGGAAATCACAAAAAACACGAATGGTCAGGAAAGCTGATTCCAAAACAGACGTGATTTTAATCTTTTTATCCTACCCTTTTGCAGTCGTAGAAAAGAATGAGCGAGAAACAAACTTTAGGTTATACACGAATTCAGAAGTTTTTCCTTTTGCCCTTTTTTCTTCCTGACTCACCAGGTCCTGAAAACCTCATCATCCAATTTTCTGCTTTCTGATGTGCAGGGGTCTTGAAGGAAAGAGGCTGTGACAACCAAGTCTTCCTGCCTCCCTTCACAGGCAGCAACTATATGAAGATGCTCTGCTAGCTCCTTAATGAAGATGTTTTAACCCTTCGAATCAAAACAGCTGTCCTGTTGGTTTTTTTTTAACTAGAGAAACTTTATTAAATGTTAAATGAATAATAAATCTAAAAAGATAAAGAAGAAAGCCCCGCCCAGTTGGCGTGGCTCAGTGGTTGAGTGTTGACCCACGTACCAAGAGGTCGCCGGTTTGATTCCCTGACAGGACACATGCCCAGATTGTGGGCCCGTGTTGCAGGAGGCGGCCAGTGGATATTCTCTCTCACTGATGTTTCTCTCTCTCCTTCTCCCTTCTTCTCTCTCTTGTTGGATCCCCAGGCCACTGCCGGCCCTGGTTCAGGCGATGACACTCCAACCAGATTCATGTGGTGGAAAAAGCCAGTAATGAGAACAGAGCAGAGAGAGGGGAGGACCGGGAAGCAGCCTCCGCCGGGGAGACAGAAAGCGGGGCAGGGGCTACGGGGTGCTGGTACGGAAACTGAGGTGACAGATGGCGGCAGCTGCCGATGCCACTAGCTGTATGTGTCCTGTTTTATTATTTTATTTTTATTTATTTATTTATTTTTATCCTCACCCAAGGACATTTTTCCATTTTTTGTTCAGATAGAGTGGGAGGGAGAGAGAGAGAAACATCGATGTGAAAGGGCCAAATCGAGTGGCTGCCACTCGCACGACCCAACCAGGACCGGGGACAAACTGTAACCGAGGTACATGCCCTTAGTGGGAACCGAACCCGGGTCTCTCTGGACCGCAGGCCGACACTCTAACCGCTGAACCAAACCAGCCAGGGCCAGCTGTCCTGTTTTAAAAGTTCACCATAGTCCTTGAAACAATTCAGCTCCTTCATGTATTTTAAAAAATTAACTTGCAGCCTTTTCAGGACGTAAAGGAAAACTAGTACTAATTTAGTACTAACATTTCCACTTTACAGTGAGGAAATGGGAATGTGGAAAAGTTAACTAAATTGTCAAGGTCACAAGGATCATCCAGCTAGGGGCAGAGTTTCTCAAAATGTAATAGAGTAACTCCTAGGAGACACAGTGTTTTAAGACCTGCTCAATCCTGCCAAGAGCAGGAAATACAAGGATTGGGGTGGAGGCTGTGACTTAGACCTGGATAACATGTCACTAGCAGGTCAAACCTGAATCATGATACTAGGGCTAGAAACTGAGTAGCCCATGCACTACAGGAGGCATTTCATTACCCGGGATAACAGAAGTGGCATCAAGCCCCAAGGCTGAGCAGGGTGTGCTCCCGATGGGGGTCTTTAAGAAAGGAGTGGTCAGTGCTACCAGCACATTAGAAAGTGCTTTTCTAAGTATGAAGGCTGGACAGGCAGACAGTAGTGTGTAAGGCAGTGATTTACAAGCTTTGTCGTCTCATGGGACACAAACTAATTACTAAAATTCTGCACACACCAAAAAGTTTTTTTGTTTTTTTTTTGCCAAACTGACCAAGAAATAGGTATAATTTTGATTTACAAAAATAAAAATAAAAATAACCCTGACCGGTTTTGCTCAGCTATTAGAGCGTTGGCCCTCAGATGGAGGGGTCAAGGGTTCAATTTCCAGTCAAGGCCAAGTACCTGGGTTGCAGGTTAGATCCCCACACTGGTCGGGGTCATGCAGGAGGCAACCAATTGATGTTGTCTCTCTCACATTGATGTTTCCCTCTCTCTCTTTTCCCCTCCCTCCCTTCCATAAATCAATGGGAAAATTTCCTCGGGGGAGGATTAACAAAAAAATAATAGTAGTAGTAATTACCTACCCTTTTGCTCCAAAGTAACTTTTTAAAAAATCAAGTGCTTATACTTGTATATGAGGAAGAATCTACCAGTCAGATGCAACCTGACCAATAAGATGTAACTCTACTATGACCTACATTTATGCTTCAAGACAGGGCATTCACACCTGACGGCTACTGTTGTGTTGGCTGTTATAATTTTTTATTTGACAATCTAAAGGGAAAGAGGTCAGTGCCCCTGACTAACTAGCAGGGACTCATGTTTTAAAAATTCTTGCGGCACAACAGTTGACAGTTGCTGGTGTAATGAAACAGTTGAAGACAGAAACACAACCAAGAAGGGCTCTGCTGTTCTCCAACTCCAGTAGGAGAAACAAGTGTAAGAAATTACATTTGGTTAATATAAACTGTTTTCATAGCCCCTGAATTCTGACACTCTACTTCATCTATTACTGGCTGGAAAGATGGGAGGGAGGGCGGTAAGGGGGACCTGACGCTACCAAATGATAGAAATTCACATACCATTTTTCCTTCTGAAACAAATCATATTTTACTTTCAAACCAACTGGAAGTAACAGGTCTAATACAAATTTGTTTAAGAGAGCAAAAGGGGTTCAGGTCCCAAAATATTAAGGAAGTAATAGTTATTTTCTTTCCTTTAATAAAGGCAATAGAATTAGCCACTCAGGAGAGATTTATTGAATGCCTACTCTGCACACAAAGCTCTGTGAAGCCACCCATTCATTCCAAAGAATAAAAAAATGGTGTTTCTCACACACGGTGACTTCAGTCTAAGTTTCACATGATCTTGCACTCAGGAAAAATGACGAAAAGGCAAAAGAGGAACTACAAGGCAAAAAAAAAAAAAAAAAAAAAAAGTGTGTGCTATCTCCTTTGAAGATAAGCCTCTATTTCATACTACAATAAAGTTGACTTGCAAAACAGATTAAGCTCTAATCAACACGGGAAGACGTGTCTTTCTTAACCTATCACTGTAAGAACTCGTTACTCACACACAAGAGTGGGAGCGCCTTCCAAAAGGTGTGACGCAGGGGTTTCTCAACGATACCTCCCGCTCTTCTTCGGCAATCGCCTCGCTTTAGCTCGGGCCCCAGCCACCTCCAGGCGCCCGCTGGATGCGAGGCCTGGGCTGCACGTCGCTGCACAAGCTAGTCCTGTGCAACTGCGACATGGGGGGCGCAGAGAGCAATTCCTGTTCTACTTATTCGATTCCTTCCTTTAGGCAAACGAGGCCTCATTTGGATGGAGAGCAGGGCTAAAGTCATCTAAGGCCGAACCCCAACGTCTTCTTGGGTGGGCACAAACCCACGTCCGACTACACCCTCCCCCCAGAGGGCCGTGATCAGAAAAAAAAAAAAAACCCGAAACTCCTTGCCAAGAATGGTCGGCCGGAGGTCACCCTGCTCCCGCTCCGGCCGGGAGTCCCTGAAGCAGCCGCGAGAAGGCAATCGAGGGCTGGACGGGGGCCGGGGCCACCCCGGCAAGGTCCTGGCGGCGCGGGGGCGCCCCTCCCCCGCCCGGCCCGCCGCTCCTCGCCGCGCGTCTCTCCGCAGGCGGGCCTGGCGCACTTACCCCCGGTTGGGACCCTTCGGGATGAACCAGGGCAGCAGGAGGCCGACGATGCTCCAGAACACACTCATCACGATCAGGGGCACCGTCAGGCCGTTGTACGCCATGGTCGCCGCCCGCGCCGCAGCCCCTGCCCCGCCGCCGCCGCCGCACTTGGGTCCCACCCGGAAGTGTCAACACCGGGCCGCGTGACCAGCGCCAGCGAGGACCCGCCTTCCGCGCCCCCACGTGACCGCGCGCCGACTCCGCCCCTCCGCGGCCGAGAGACAGAACTCCGCCCTCACCTGGCGGGTCTGCGGACCACTGCTGCGTGGAGGGCGACGCTCCCTGGAGCCCCAGCGTGAAGGGTCCAGGCACCTGGGGCTAAGAACGCGGCCTGGGGGGGAGTTGTAACTACCACCCCCACTTTGCAGGTGAAGAAACGGAGGCCCAGGTTAAGGGTCTTGCCCAACAACGCCACAAAGCTCGTAAGTGGCAGAGCCAAGATTCAACCTCTACTGGTGTGATATTCAAGGCCAGTGCTTTTTTTGTTTCTTTTCATCTTCACCGGAGGAGATAGGTTTATTGATTTTATTTTATTTTTTAATTTTTATATTTATTGATTTTAGAGAGAGAAAAAAGGAGAGAGAGAGAGAGAAAGAAACATCAAAGTGAGAGAGAGACATTTCAACTGAAAACCCACAATCTGTGCCTCCACTGGGAATGGAACCCTCAGCCCCTTCGGTGCACAGGACAGTGCTCCAACCAACTGAGCCACCCAGCTGGGGCTGTGCGTGTACCTTAACCAACCCTCTGGAGGGCAAAGTCCTTGAGACCAGGCACTGTTTTAGTGATCTATGCTCCTTTGCGGCACTTGATTCGTAGAATGTGCTCAATAAACACTTGTACAACTGCAAGAAGGAGTGAGATCAGCCAGAACTAAATTAGAGGAAAAAAGCTTGCTCTTACTTTCTTCCATTTATTTTATTTATTTATTTATTTATTTTTATCCTCACCCGAGGACATTTTTCCATTTTTTGTTCAGGTAGAGTGGGAGGGAGAGAGAGGAGCAGAGAGAGAGAGAGAAACATCGACGCGAAAGGGACACATCAAGTGGCTGCCACCCGCACAACCGACCAGGGCCGGGGACAAACTGCAACCGAGGTACATGCCCTTAGCGGGAACCGAACCCGGGTCTCTCAGGACCGCAGGCCAACACTCTAACCGCTGAGCCAAACCGGCCAGGGCCCATTTATTTATTTTTTTATTAAATTTGTTTGTTGTGGATATATATAGTCAACAAGTGAAAGCAACACAAATCATATATAGATAACAAAAAATTTACTATCTTAACCATTTTAAGTGTACAGTTTAGTCATGTCAAGTACATTCACATTGTTGTGCACACAATCTCCAAAACTTTTCAAACCCATTAAACAACTCCCATTCCCTCTCTCCCAGCCCTGGCAACCACCATTCTGTTTCCTGTTTCTGTAAGTTTGACTCTTCTATGCCCGATATAAGTAGAACCATATGGCATTTGTCTTGCTGTGTCTGGCTTAATACACTTAGCATAATGTCCTGAAGTTTCATCCATTTGTAGCACACGTCACAATGCTGACTAATATTCCACTGTACATATATACTGCATTTTGTTTCTCCATTCAACTGGCAATGGATATTTGTGTTGTTTTCACTTTTTGACTATTGCACATTTTTTCCTGTTTCTTAATGCAAATATTTTCTTTTAAGTTGATCCCGTTAACTAACTTTTGTCTTGCCTTCTTGGCAGCCTTTTTGAGAAGCAGATGTTGGGGAGCACAGGGAAGTGGCTGTTCAGACACCAGTTCTGTGCCTTTTATCCTCTGTGAAATGAGAAAAATCCTTAATCTCCGTATTATATTTGTGATCTAGTGTTGGCCAATAGCTCCCTCTACCAGTGAATCTGTCAAAAACATTTTATCATACTGTCCAAATGAAAACTGTAGGGAAAGCCAGGAACTCAGATTCAGTCATTCTGCCTTCAAGGCACTTAGAGTCTGCTTCAGGAAATGAATCAGACTCTGGGCAGTATGGACCAAAGACCCCTGAGGAGTCCCTATGACTCTTCCAGCCATCAATGAGGGCCTCTCTTTCCTAACCATCAATCTGTATGATGCAGAATTTCCTTCCTGCAGCTGATTGAATGAAGTATTGTAGGAATCCACTAGCCAGACATCAAAGAATTTTGTAACAATGTACACAATATCACTTTTTTTTTTTCCTCACTAGAGGACAGTTTTGCATTTACTTTCAGATACAGTGGGAGGGAGGAAGGGAGGAAGAGAGAGAGGGAGAGAAACATCACACATGACCCCAACTGGGGCCGGGGACAAACTGCAAAGGAGGTACATGCCCTTAGTGGGAACCGAACCTGGGACTCTCTGGTCTGCAGGCCGACACTCTAAGGGCTGAGCCAAACCGGCCAGGGCCACAATGTCACTTTACTTGTTACATTTTTTTTTTCTTTATTGATTTTTAGAGAGAGGAATGTAGAGGGAGAGAGAGATAGAAACGTTGGTGAGAGAGAACATCGATTGGCTGCCTCCTGCATGCTCCCCACTAGGGATTTGGCTCACAACCTGGGCATGTGCCCTGACTGGGAATCGAACCTGTGACCTCTTGGTGCATGGGTTGATGCTCTACCACTGAGCCACATGGGCCAGGCCTCGCTACATTCTTTTTATTTTGGAAAAGATTGTTATTTTGTATTAAAATGTTAGTTCTGTTAACATGTTTTGGGTTTATTATATGTTAAGATTTTATTTTACTTTCTAATATGGTAAATTATGTGATAGATACAACCCATATAAATGTAAGCTTTTGGGGTCCTCAATAATTTTCTTTTCATTAATTTTAGAGACGAAGGGAGAGGGAGAAAGATAGAAACATCCATGAGAGAGAACATCCATTGGCTACCTCCTGCATGCCCCCCACTGGGGATCGGGCCCACAACCTGGGCATGTGCCCTGACTGGGAATCGAACCAGCGACCTCTTGGTGCATGGATCAATGTTCAACCACTGAGCCACACTGGCTGGGCAATACTTTTGACATGTGTAAACAGTTGTTGAGACCAAAAGGTTGAAAACCACTTCTAGAGGAAAAGCCTCTGAGGCAACCCCAATAGGATAAAGTAAATAAGAGCTTACCAAAAGGCTATAGTGCAAGCCCCTAGGAGCCCCTCTTGCCTAAGCCCTGTAAATAAAGATTGGCATGCAGAGTCACAAAGCCATGGAGTCATAAAGTTCCTTCTAAACTGATCAGGAAGGTTGGACGTTAGTGGAGAAGCTGAACGCCCCAGCATGCTTCACTTGTCCTTTGCTCAGCAGGTATGTATGGAACATGTGCTGTGGGCAGCTGCCACCAATTATAGCATCTACCATTTGAGTGACGCCCATGTGCCATTGAACTAGGTGATTTTTGAATGACCTGTTGCATTCAATGCTCACAACACCTATTACGGAGATTATCCATTTTACATATTAGGAAAAAGAGGCTCATCTTTGTAACTTGTCCAAAGTCTAGCTGTTTTAAGTGACAGGATTGGGATCTGAATGTAAGTCTTCATAGCTCCTGTTCTACCCACTAAGCCATGCTGCCTCTCTTATTTCAAATAGTAAGTCAGCAAAACCCCCTAAATTATACACTCCTCGACAAGATAGAGACCTCTACTGCATAAGACGAGACCTCTGAAAACCTGTTCTAGAGTTACGACGTGGCTGATTTATTTCTAATGGACAAAGAATATTTTATTTAATATTTGTGCATGTTTATATATTTTAATTGATTTTTCTTTAAGTGAGAGGAAGAGAGAAACATCGATGTGAAAGAGAAACATCAATTGGCTGCCCCTACCCCCTCACGTGCTCCCCAACTAGGAATGAAACCCTCAACTTGGGCATGTGCCCTGACCCGGAATCAAACCCGCTACCTTTTGGTGTACAGGACGATGCTCCAACCAACTGAGCCACACCGGCCAGGGCGGCATGTTTATATTTTAATCAAAGTGTTCAGGCAATAAATCCACCTCACAAAGCTGTTTCAATCTGCCTTTCTCATGAAGAGTTCTTCATTGATCAAACTTTTAGCAAACACCCAATCGTATATGCATAGACTATTTCTAGGAGTTCACAAAGAAGCTGGAAACAGTGACTGTTTCTTGGGAGAATTGAGTGCCCGAAAGTCAAAGTGATGAGGAAGCTTACTTTTCACTGTATACCTTTCGTACCTTTTTATGTTGTATCATATATAAGTATTACTTCTTTAAAAAATACTAATTTAAAAGAACAAGGAACAAAGACCCAAGCCACCAGCAGATGGGACCTGCAGATGTCTGCAACATCAGCAGAGTCTGGTGGACTCTTGGTTAGTAGAGTTCTGTCTGGTTGTCAGAAGATTCAGTTCTTGCCTCCCCAACTCCCACTGACAGCTCTGTAGCTGAACATCTCCTGTCTCAGTGCCATATGAAAGCAGTCATTCAGAAGCAGCGGTCTGAAGTTTCAGTCTGAAGTTTTCCCAAAATAGCACAAGGGGACTCACTCAAGTGAATGGCCATCTGCAAATTTGATGAAAAGGTCAGTAGGAAACGGCTTAATTCATTCATTGCAGGAAACATGCTAATACCCAAGGGCGCGAATCTGTATAGACAGGCCCACCCAGCTGGTACTCTCCAGCCCCCATTTCCTGCAGCCGACAAAACACAATACTGCTGCCCTCAAACCCTCCCCATTCAAGAACCAGCGTTTGTCTGAACTCCCTTGAGAAAAACTTTTCCCTCTGCACCTGCAAACAAACCCACTTCTATTCTCCTTTCAAAGACAATAGCTAAACTTTGCTCAACTCTCTGCTTTTACATGCAGTATCTCAAGTAATAAGCTCTCAAAGCTCTTATCTCGTTTGTATCAAACAAGTTGCTGAAAACAAGCCAGATCTGACTACTAGGAAATATAATTTTAACAGTATTGGCTGGAGCCCAAGGCTCAGACCAGACATCAGAATTTGTTCTGCCCTGGCCAGTTTTGCTCAGTGGTTAGAGCATTGGCCTGTGGACCAAAGGGTCTCAGGTTCCATTCTGGTCAAGGGCACATACCTGGGTTGCAGGTTTGATCCCCAGCCCCGGTCAGGGTCGTGCAGGATTTTAGATGTGGCCCTGGAGCTAAATTGTGAGGAATAATTTTATTAGATGTGGAATCTAAAACTCAGATGCCAGTGGGGTCCAGGCATTTAGGGTACATGGAGTGAGCTGGAAAGGGAGCAGCCAGCCCCTGGCTCCACACCTGAAGGCTCTACAGGATCAGGGCCCCGTGCAGCCAGAGGAAGCACAAGATCTGATTTCTCTGTGGATCTCATAAGCCTTAAATGTTGGATATTAACATTTAAAAATCCTGAAAAGCAACAGGGCAAACAAAGTCTCTGTGAACCCATCCTTGCCTACAGGACATCAGTTTTCTGGTTAGTCCCAGGAAAGAGGAGTGACATTTCAGTCACATGGAAATGGCACTTGCAATGTCAAGACCTTGGGCAGGGAGCCTGGCTAGGGGCTGCATGGCTTTGGTTGGAGCATGAGGAGAGGGCGATCCGCAGGCCTGAAACATGGGTGTGTGAACAGCACCAGTGGCTCAGTGGGGCCACATTGTTTCAGTTCGTATAGTGACCACTACTGAGTGGAACAAACCCCTGATCAAGGACCAGCCCTGTCCAGTCTATCCCATCAGCATGAGGGTCCAGCCAGGAGCAGGGCCATCCCATTACTGTTCTACTGCCCCACAGATTAAACACATGAAAGAATAGCAATAGGGAAGTGATAAGAAGATGAATTTTATCTATAAAACAATGCAAAGTCCACTGGGAATTAAGAAACATCTCCAATTTTTATTCATAAAATTAATCAAAACAGTAACAATAGATTTACAGAGCCACATATCAATAACAAAACAGGATGGAAACAAAATACTCCAGAGACATCTTGAAAAGTTTCAAAGGCATACACACCAAACTAAACCTGTGGATGCACACAGGATATATTTACTCCTGCATTTTCTCAATAAGTTCTTCTTTATATTTGCCTTTCTCTTTTCCAACTTGTCGAGATTTGGCTTTGCGTTCAAGAATTTTTTTCCGATCTTTGTCCAGTTTTAGCCTGGTGATAACCACCTGTTAGGAGTGAGGAGACAAACAGACCTCTGTGTTTTCAGTGGCAAGGATCTATAACCATGATTAGTTTGTACAGCAGAGGCTCCCTCAACAATAGTAGCTTAGCTTCCTCTGCTGCGCAATCGCCTACCCCCTAATTCCTGAGGACCCAGGAGACCATTTAGATAGTTTAGTGACATGAAATATCATTTGGGCTGGAAAAAATGATGCTACCAACACATTTCTGGTTTGTCTAGCCTCCCTTGGCTGGCAAAATGCATTAAGAAATATCTTTACTGCTGCCAGCTACTGGACAATACAGAGATCGTAGGGTAAGAGCCCAACCATTCTGAAACACACAGGCTAAGGATCTGAAATTCCGGGGGAGAGACCCTACAATACAGGGCACAAGGTGGGAGCACAAAGAAGGAACAGCATATTCCACCAGGGGAGCCTGAGGCCACAGGAAGAAATGGTCTCTCCTCTCCCTCTGGACGGTATCTGGTGGGGAAGTGAGGTCTGGAATGCCTGGCACCCCTTTGCTCCCTCCTTGAAGACAGAACCTTCACCAAGGATGATAAAACAGTTAAGAAAAGAATTTGGGTCCTTGACGGTATCAAGCCAGTGACTCAATCTGGAAGTCCTTGCAAGGGTCCCATGTGAACAGGACCAACATGTCAACAACTCTAACAGTTGCACTATGCTATGTGGCTGCTACCACTGCCCAGTCCCGGGCCATACCTTGCTTGGGTGAATGCCCACGTGGACAGTTGTGCCGTTAGCCTTCTCACGCTGCACCCGCTCGATGTAGATGACGTATTTCTTTCTGTACACCTGTACTACCTTGCCGATTTGCTGACCTTTGTAGTGTCCTCGGACCACCTGAGAGAAAATACAGAAGAGAACCACCCTCATTTCTAATTCATGAACATCACAGTGAAGACACTATCAGAAACACACAGGCTAAGATACAACCATTTGTACAAAAGCAGATTAATCCTGGCAGTCAAAAGTCATCTATTTTTAGGTATAAATCTGCTTTGTGTTATTCTAAGTCAGGTGGAATTTCTCTACTTGAATTTTTCCTTTTCATATCTGAAGAATACTGAATTCCTTGAACTAGGATGGCCATCATAGAACTAATCCTGAGCCCTGGCCGGTTTGGCTCAGCGGTTGGAGTGTTGGCCTGCGGTCCAGAGATACCTGGGTTCGGTTCCCACTAAGGGCACGTACCTCGGTTGCAGTTTGGGGTTGTGTGGGAGGCAGCCACTCGATGTGTCCCTTTTATGTCGATGTTTCTCTCTCTCTCCCTCCCACCCTCCCTCCCTCTATATCTGAACAAAAATGGAAAAATGTCCTCCGGTGAGGATTTTTAAAAAAAAGAGCTAATCCTGAGAGTAAAAGATATAATCAATGTACATCTAAAACTAATACAATGTAATATATCAGCTACATCAAAAATACAATCACTCTGATATCTTAAAGAACAGTTAGAGATTATATTGAGACTCATGCAACCATTTAAAATCCATGTTTTTAAAACATAGTTTATTACCTAGGAAAATGGTCAAGATATAACCTTTAGAGAAAAAAAGGGAATACAAAGCTATATATAGAATAGAATCTGAATACGAATCTTATATGTATATGTTTCATATATATACGCTGTCCCCAAAAATGTATTCTTTGAATAATTATAAAGCCAGTGTTTATTAAAGTACACTTCATTTTCAGAATGTAATAGAATCTACAGACATCCTGTATGGTACCTAACATGATGAGGTTGAAATGTATCCAAATATTGATAATGGCTGTCTAGGCAGGAAGTAGGATTACAGTTGACTATTTTTAGAATTTAATTCTTCCAAACTTTAAGATTTCTACAATTAATTCAAATATTTTATAGTCAAAAATATTTTAATTTTAAATTAAAATCTCATGGGCTATTTTTACATATTAAATGTCTGCTCCAACTCTATTAAAAAATCAACTAGATTACGGTTTCCCTAAAGGCAACAGCCAATTAAACAGTAGCTACAATATAGATAATGTTCATTAATAAACATAGAGAAAATACCTCATATAAAGAACTGAAGAATGTCAGCACTCCTAAAATGTCTACCTAGGTTGTTCAGCTTCTTTACTAAAATGATGCTCAGGTTGAAAAGAGAACAGCCTCCAATGAAAGCCCACTACACTCTACATGACCAGAGACTCCCACATGGAAGTCTGTGAAAAGCCCCTATTAACTATCATCAAGACTGAAGAAGGACGTTGATAAAGAGTCCAAAGGAACAGCGTGGATAGAGAGAAGTGGGCAAACCCGTGACCCAGTAGGCAGACAGACTAAACTGAATGAGCTGAAAAGGTGAGGAAGAGGCAAGGATGATATCCAGTCTGGTTGGGCAACTGGACGGATGGATATGCTTTCCCCAGAGCCATGGAACATGGGAGAAGAAACAGATTTTAAGAGAAAACGTTAAATGTAAAGTGACTGGAGACATTCCAGGGAAGACTTCCATAAAGAGCCAGAAAGAAGGCCAACTGGGCCAGTGACAAAGACCTGGGAATGATCCCTGCAGTCGGGTGCAAAGAGCCACCGTGAGCAATGCCTGGCAAACTAGCAGCCCGGGGCTAAGTCAAAAAACAGAGTTTTGCTTGGCTGACATACTATTTTTTATCCTCACCCGAGGACATTTTTCCATTTTTTGTTCAGATAGAGGGAGAGGGAGGAAGAGAGCCAGCGAGAGAAACAGACGTGAAAGGGACACATCAGTGGCTGCCTCCCGCAGGCAGGACCCAACCAGGGTTGGGGACAAACTGCAACCAAGGTACGTGCCCTTAGCGGGAACCGAACCCAGGTCTCTCTGGGCTGCAGGCCCACGCTCTAACCGCTGAGCCAAACCGGCCAGGGCTAACATACTATTTTTTAAAATAAATTATTAGAGAATTGAACTTTAATGCTCTTAATTAGGCTGGGCAGGCGCTCCCTGGTGGCTCTGGGCCCCCATCTCCGGTCTGACACACCTGCAGGGTCACAGTCTCTGCCAGGGTGCCGAGGGCAAGCGAGGTCTATGACTCCCCATGTCCAAGCACACAGGACGTTTGCAGGCAAAGGCGGAGCCTGCGCGCTTCGCTCTGGGTAACTCCAGCCGAAGGAGACGTACCTGGACCTCGTCGTCCTTGCGGATGGGCATGGAGCGGACGTTGTACTTCTGCCGCAGTTCTTTGGAGAGGGGGGAAGACATGATCTTCCGACGCACGTGGGAGGGGGCATTGAAGTGGCGTTTGCGGTTTTTGCTACGGTCCGAGGTCACGAAGGGGTTGAACTTCATGGTGGCCGTCTGCAAAGAGCGGCGAGGAAGGGGTGCTCAGTGGGGTGCCAGGCCGGCTCTCCCGCAGGCACCCCTCCCCATCCCCGCGCAAGGGCCCTACAACAGGGGGCCTCGGGAGAAGGCGACTGAAGAGGGGGGCGGGGGTGTGAGGCGTTAGGGTGTTAAATGGCGCAAGGCGAGCGTGGGGGGTGTGCATGCTCAACCAGGGGGGTCGTGGGGAGAGGGGGGCACTGACGCCTGGGGAGGGAAGGCTCGGGCTAGACAAGAAAGCATGATTGGGGTCATTCAGAGAGCTCTATGGGGAGACGGGTAGCCCCGTGGAAGGTGGGGAAGGGTCTTACGCGGCGGGGGGCTTCCCAGGCCCAGAAAACACCAGCCCCTACGCACTCACCTGCCTGGTACCGGAAGTGGTCAAATAGTGCACGCGCAGGGCAGATAGTGAGGCGTCCTTGCCGCGCAAGCGCAGAAAGAAAGCGGCGCTCCATTCCCTCGAAATGAAGCTGAATGGCGCCCCCTGTGGCTTGGGGTGGGATCGCATATCTCGTTTCCAGGGACCACTAGACTGGTAAGCGGCCCTAGGGGTCATGCCGGGAACCCCGAAGAAATGGCACCTCTGGGAGAAGGGGCCTTCTTTTGTAGGACCTGCAATAGAGGCTTACTGATGTTCTTTTAATAGTCTTTCCTACCCCAAACTCTCTTTGCCCTGTTACCCTCTGCAGAAGTCGGCTAGGCATGTTATCAGGGTGCTGGCAACGTCATGATGCTTCAAATGCAATGTGTTGACTTGGTTTTCGTGCTCCACCACAGTCCTGTAAAACCAGACAGTGGTGTGTTGGAGTCAGGGAATCTGAGTTTAAAGCGAGAACTCCCCCGACCAAAGATTCTGAGGCGTACAACTGCTGGAGTGTGGCTCACCGACCACATGGCTTTGCAAAACTCCCCTCCACCCAAATTCTTTAGCCCTGTTGGGAAGAGCTGGGATTGTAGAGCAGGACATTGACCCAAGTGCCTCTTTATGCTGCTGGCCCTTGGGGAGCCGCCTCCATGTTTCTTAGCCTCAATTTCCTCATCTGTGAAATGGGGATGATCTTAGTAGGTGCCTCATGGAGTTGTTATGAAGACTAAATGAGTTAATTCGTTTAGAGTGTTTAAAACAGTGCCTGGCACACAGCCCTCAATTACAGTCGCCCATTATTCCTGATCTCCCGGAAAGCCCTAAGGCAGGGCTTCTCACTCACCGAGCCTTCGCATTCATACTTTTTCCATTGCCTCCTAATGACGCAAACTGTAAGCTTTCTGTGTTTGATGTAAACACGTGAGATGCACCACGCTGGCTGGAGCTCAGGTTGTGGTCTCCCTGTTTTTGTTGTTACTGTGTGTGTTTGTTTAACCTTTGCAAACGCCTCCAGAAAAGCCAACTCGCGCAGCTGGGACCTTGGGGCCGGAGCGCACCTGCGGGTTTGTTACTGCAGCCCTTCCCCACTCCCCCCAGCCCCGCCCACCCCGCCGCGGCCTGCCTCGCCCACCTCCCGCCCCCCTGGTCCCCCACCTCTGGTCCCCGCCCAGAGGTGTGGGCGCCACCCTACCGTTCTTTAGGCTGAGAAACTTGTGCGGTCCCTGGGAATGAAAGGTCCCCGGATCTAGGCTCCACTGTGCGGGAGACTCCATAGATGGATTCATTCATTGAATGGATTGATTCCTTCTCTCATTTAATTCACATCTATTGAACGCCTATTTTATGCGAGATGCCAGACATTAGAGTTTGCGTTGCCCAGTTAACAGGTGGTAACCCTGAAATTCAGAGAGGGATGTCTTGCTAGAATCAGGCATGTCTCCTGCTCTCCCCCAGTGTGTGTCTTTGACACATACATGGTGGTGAAATTAAATACTAGTATTCACTAATACTCATGGTCACCAGGGCATCTGACTTATCCCTGGACTTGCTGGGTCCTGTTTTAGGTTTCATTCCAGACCCCCCCCCCCCCCCCCCCCCCGCAGTCAGTGTTAGAGACCTCTGGCTTTCAGACTCAGGGAGGATGGCCACACCTGGGCTGTTTGCAGAAGCCAAGGCAGCAAAGTGGAGTGGACGTTGTTTAGGCAACAGCATTGTGTGCCCGTTGTGTGTGTAGGCTCCAAGAGTAAGGAAGTGGGGAAGAGATGTAAGAAAGGAAGATCTTTAACGTTCTCACCAGAAAAAAAAAAGTATGTGAGGCGCTGGAGGTGCTAACACTACTGTGTTAATCATTTCCCAGTATCATTTCTCAATATGTAAATATCAAATCAACACATTGTGCACCTTAAACTAACTTCCATGATATCAATTACATCTCAATAAAACTGGGGACAAAAAAAAAAAAAAGGAAGTCACTTCCCACGGTCAAAGCAGGAGCAGATGCTGCTGTGACTAGGTTCACGTGGAAGGTCAGAGGTTCCTCTCAGAGCAGCTCTTGCAGTGTTCATCAGACCCAAGTCCCCATGCTTGCTCATTCACACACTCACTCACTCACTGGCTCCTTCTCTGTTCATTCACTTACTCCTTTATCACGCTCATTCATTTCCTCATTCACCGACTCATTTACTCACACATTCGTGCATTTACTCATTAATTTAGTCACCATTTATTTGGTACCGACAAGGAGCCACAGGTACAGGGCTAGATCAAAGACATCTAGGGAGGAGGGAGACCTGGTCCCCGCCCCCAGGGAAAGGCAACCAAGTGAAGGAGATCATCACAACCCAAGATAATCAAGGTGTATTCATGACCAAACAGGGCAGGCAGGTATTCACATCCACCCCAGCCACTCCCATAGCTCAGTAAAATTAAGACAGCCATAGTGATATCACCAGATGAGATGATGAGAGCCTGAGGCCGTCACTCTGATGAGGACTTAGTGGGACTGGCTACTAGGTTGCCTCATGGCCACCCTTGGAAACATGCACAGGGACTGGTATAGAAACCCCAGGGCCTAGCACAGAAGCCTGGCACGGAGGAATTGCCCAGGGGATATTTTTATGTCTCAGAGGCAGAGAATGACGTGGTGGGGAAGTGAGTGAGCCCTGGATTCTGATTGGGTTTGGATCTCCACCACTTCCTGGCTCTGCAGCTTTGAATAAGATATTCAGCCTCTTTCTTGGCCACTCATTTTCCCCATTTGAGAAATGGGAATAATGATAGTATTTACCTCATTGGTTAGGTGTCAGGATTAAACAAACCCTTGGCCTAGTGTCTGGCACGAAGTAAGCACTTCATACCTGGTAGAAATGACTGTTTATGAAATGAATGGTTAGCAATGGCTAATTTTATTAGGCTGAGCACTTACTGCCAGACATTGTGCTAACCGCTTTACACACATTACCTCATTTAATCTGGTAAACAACCCTCTGAACTGTCCCTTTTGCAGGTGAGAAAGCAGGCTCTGAGTAAGACGGGAGCAGAGGGTGGACATGACCCAGCATTAGATGCTCAATATGGTTACTATCTTGCAGTCAATACAGCCGATGAGATTCATAGTCATTAACAAAGAAAGGTTAGGTCTATTAAGGGAGGAAAAAAATAAACTACAAAGTATTAACAGCACGATCTCATTTTGTTTATGAAAGAATATCATTAAAATGTGGGCAATGATGATGTCTGATTATTGGGTGACTTTAATTATAGGGGTGACTTTAATTTCCCCTTTTAAACTTTTTTGCTCTTCTCTGACTTTCCTCCAACGGGGTGATGAAGATGTATTATTTGTGTAATTAAACTCATGTTTTAAGGGTTTTCAATTTTTGTTTAAGAAAATTCCCAGTGTTCAGTTTCGCTTTCCTCTGCAGGAAGAAAACAAACAAACAAATAAAAGTACCCCCAGCCCTGGCCGGTTTGGCTCAGCGGTTGGATCATCGGTCTGCGGACCAGAGAGTCCTGGGTTTGGTTCCCGCTAGGGGCACATACCACAAAAAATAAAAATAAAAGTACCCTCTACTTTCAATTTTCCTTTTTGGGCTGGGCGTGGAGGTAGGAGGCGGCGGGGAGGGGGGGTGGTGTTGGGAGAGGATCAGTTTTCCCTTCTGACACAGATCAGATCTTGGGGACTGGGGTGGAACCGTGTGATTCTTCATAACCCTGGAGTCAGGCGGATGTGGGTTTACATTCCAACCTCAGCACCTGCCAGCTGTGTGACCAGAGAGACAAGTTGCTACATCTCTGATCTGTCCTTCCCAAAAAGGACGTCACACTCCATCACGGGATGGCCCTGAGGGCAGACAGACCAGCCTGAACAGTCTCCTTGCCTGGCACGTGAAGCATGTCCAGGCCCTGGTAATAAGAGTTCATTTCTTTTGGTCAGAATAAAGTGTGACCTCATCACTACGTGACAGGAGGCACCTGCCAGGGAGGGAACAGGGTCTTGGGCGAGTGTCGCCCTCCTGACGGTCCCTGCACATCCTGGGCAACCTGGTGCGTAGAGAGCTGGAGCCGCTGGAGAACCAGTTTCTTCAGGGGGATTGGGGTCACTGATGGCCTGCCACACTGACAAAACGTGTCTCTGTTTCTGGCAAGAACCAGAAATTGGTTTCTGAGGCCAGCCTAGGGACTATAGTCAATAACAGTGCGATAACTTGTATGGTCCTGGAAATATCGGAGGGACACGTGGTAAAGTATATGGTTGTCTAACCAACCACCATGCTGCACACCTGAAACTAATATTGAATGTAAACTGGAACTGAAAAACACATTTAAAATAAAATTTCAAAGGGGGGTTAGAAAATTAGTTTGTGACACGTAGTAATAAAAAGCAGCCGCAGCGACCGTTTCTGAGCACCATGGTCATGCCCTTCTCCCCAAACTTCGCACCCACTCTGCGTGCCCACCCGCCCACCCAGGCAGCACGTAAGCTTTTTCCCTCATGGAACCACCAGGACCCCGAACCCAGCACCTCCCCCTGCGTGAGTCTGGGCTATAATCCCCGATTGAGAAACCCTCTTACAGGAAAACACTGGTACCTGCGCTTGGTTAGATAACAGTAAGAACTGGCTTAAGGGAGACATCATGAGACTGACACATCCATACCTTAAATGTTATGTCAACATAAACACATCTGCCAACCTTTCGACCCTTGGCTCAAAGCGGTGGGAAAATGTCAGCCCTGTTCTCAAGGAGATTCTTTTCTCTGGGGAATACCAATATGGAGTAACTACCACTTTTGAAAATTTGCCGGGTACCACTTTCCGGCATGCATGAGCTCATTCGGATCCGGGATAACTAACTTGCACATGTGTAGATTTAATTTCTGCAATAGTCTCACAAGGTGGTGTTATTATTAGCCTTACTTCCACCTGGGCAAACCGAGGCGCTGATGGGTAAAAGAAGCTACCCAGTTAGAAAAGGGCTGATCCGGACGCATCCTGCAGGGACTCAAGGAAGGAAGCACTGAGTCTGAAGAGTGACTTCCCGATCACCCCCGATCACCCCCGATCACCCCCGATCATCCCCGATCATCCCCGATCACCCTCGTAGCTCTTTTCCACATTTCCCAGCATCTCCCCTGGAGAATAAACTTCCCCTCTGGGATCGAGCCCCCGGGCTGCCTAGCCACGATCAAGTAGAAAGAAACACACAGCAATTTTTCTGAAAATCAGCCCTTTAATCTATTTGAACCCAATGGGTGGGGAAAAGAACGAAAAGATTTTCTTCCCCCTTGAGATTTCGTTTATAAGAATAATGGGTCAGAGGTGTGTCTTCCATAGGAAACTGACATCCCCACGTCCTCAACAGTTTTTTGTAAATACATAAAAGTGGAATTTCAACTCCTGCATACCCCACACATGTCCCCGCCCTACCCCGCCCACCCTCTGAGGGGACTCCTTTCCATAGCTGGGTAATGGAACGTAAAAAAAATCCATCTAAGTGGCCCTAGATACCAGAAATAACCAAACGCAGTTACACGCACATCAGTCAACGCAGACGCAAGCAGGGAAGCTGTTCTACTTGGAATCCAGAGCCCAAAATACAAAGGGCAGAGACTTGAGCTATCTATATAGATAAGTTAAAACTCCTTCTCCTTGGCATTTCCCTTAATTACAAAAGTATGCAAACAATCTTGGTACAAATGGAAAACAGGCGGGCGGCTGTCTCCCCGGGACACCAGGGCATACCTGAAATTCCCTGGGTGGGAATGTGCCTGGACCACTGCCCCTCGCTTTCAGGACTGAAGGGGAAGGATGAGGGGGAGAAGGGTAGGGACCCACCTCAGGAGCAAATGGGAAGACAAGGGAGCCACCCCAGGGACTAGGAACGTGCTGGTGTGTGGCCAGCCCATGGGGGAGCTCAGTGGCAAGGGGCCAAAACGGGGCTGCAGAGAGGGCCATGCACTGTGCACCCCTCGGGAGCCCAGAAGGCAGATGTCAAGACCCGGGGCGGGGGTCTGCTTCGCGTCCCCCTCCTAAGGCCTTGGGGCTGATGGCGGCCAGCTGAGAGAGGCTTGTAGCGAAAGATGCTCCCCGTCTGGACATTAGTGCACAAACCCTGTCTGTTCTCAAAGGATGACTTCCAAGTCACAACCAGCCCCCCCACCAAGAGATGCTCTTGTCACACAGCGGGGGGGCTGAGGCACATTGGCTGGGGGTGGGGGTTAGAGAAGCAATGTGAATTGAGAAAGGGGAACCTGCCACCCGCCCACTGACCAACTGCCTGTTGGGAGAAGGGGGACTCAGGCCCGGGCTCTGGTCAGGCAGGAAAGGACGAGCCGAAGCGAGGGTTCGGCCGCGTCTCAGGGGCCTGCTGGAAAGTACCATCTTATGTTGAAGGCGCCAGGTGGGGGGTACCTTTGGGCAGCCTGGGCCAGAGTTGAGAGTCCAGGTCTGTGGGTTGGCTGCCCAGGGGGAAACCAAATGGTGGGGGCTGAGATTGTCAAAGCCTGGCTGAGAGCTGGTCGACATGGACTCTGGGCTGGTCCCGCAAGACAGAGGGACTGGAGCCCTCCCAGGAGGGGTCCCCGAGCACCCCTTGCCTGACTCTGGTTTGGGGGCTCCCTGGGGGAAGGTGCACAACTTCAGGCATCGTAATTCGCCTAAAGTTGAACATGGGGAAAGAGGTAGCTGCAAAACCGTGAGCCATCCCCTATGACCCCCTCCCCCCACTTTGGGATGCAGCCAGATCCTGGGCCAGACAGGGGGCAGGGGACGGGCGCTGGAGGGCCGTCAGTGCATCTTGCCCAGCTGGATCTTCTTCCAGGCCTCGGAGGCTGTGAAGATACACGAGTCCAGAATGCCGGCAACGGTGAAGGTCCCGCCAATGATGGCACAGATCTGAAATCGAAGCGGAGGTCAGAGGTCAGCGCTGCAGGGCGTGCTGGGCCAGCCCCCTTCCAAATCACGAGAGATCTCAGCGAGCGCAGATGCTCTGCTCCATGATACCCACCCATGGTAATCAACGAGGTCTGGAACAGACTCAGGGCTCAACAAGACCCACTTGTTGGATAATGAATTTAATAACAATAAAAGCAATCATCATCAGCGCCTTAAAATCCCATATTAGCCTTCTGAATGAGGAAGGGGATTATTCGACCCATTTCGCAGGTGAGGAAACCGAGGCTTAGTTAGGGAACTGTGCTGGGACTTGAATTCAGGTATGTCTGGACCCTGGAGCCTGTGGTCCTCTCTAATGTATCAGATATCTACAATCCCATTTGCAAATGACAGGATGGAGGTTCAGAAAAGTGGCACCACTGGCCCAAGGTCACACAGCTAGCAAGTGGCAATCCTGGGACTCGAACCTGTGTCTGACGGTCCAGGTGCAGCGCTGCCTGTGAGGGCAATCTGGGGGCCGCTAAGAGGCAGCAGTCAGAGGCCTGCACGCTGCCATTGGGATGTGCAGTCACCAAAGAATCCCACTGACACACGCAAGGTTACAACCAAGGCCAGTGCTAGAGGAGAGAGGGCCGTGGTGCTACCAGCGAGCTCGGGTTAGGGCGGTTCCTTAGGGCACCCTCTCCTTTTGGGACCAGATAATTCCTGCGCACTGAAGGAAGGCGGGCAGCATCCCAGGCCCCCACCCATGAGACGCCAGTAGTGTCTTCTCCTCCCTGCTGTGACAACCATAATGTCTCCAAACATTGTCAAAGTCCCCTGGAAGTCAAAATTGCTCCTGATTAAGAACTGCTGTAGTAGGGGGATGTTAATGACTAGCATCTGAAGTCTGTACTCCGTAATTCCCGCCACGTGATAACCACAACGCACCAGGAGGGGTTTACATGGTGCCTTCCCCATGCCAGGCACGGTCTGAGGTGCTTTGCGCCTCCCTCCCCCAGGCCAACCTAAGGAGGGAAGTGGTGTTCTTATACCTACTTTACAGCCAAGGCACTGAGGCACAGAGACACCGAATCACTTGTCTCAAGCCACAGTAATTTGTTGCTGAACCGGGGACAAAGCTTTGTGGAGTCTGTGTGTGAGTGAAGACCACACCTACGAGGCACCCAACTGAATTCCTCCCTGCGCTATGAAGTTGTACGAACTCCACTTGCGATGGATCGGACTCATTCTACGTGTGACTCAACATCTTCTGACCTACCCGATGAGCTGCTTTCGGGGGCCGTGAAAGAATCCAGGAGCGAATGATGCAAAAGAGAGGTTCAAAGAAGGTTTGCAAGAGAACTTTACATGTGTTCCCCCCTTGAACACACACTTGACGCCGTTCATAAGAACCAATACCACCCACCACCCTGGATACCTGGGCGGGAGGCACCTCTTCACTCATGTACCACGTGGCCCAGAGAGGGAGATGACTTGTCCAAGGTCACGCAGCAAGTGTGCGGCGAGGCCGAATCTGTCTGCCTCCAGGACTCTCACTCGCCCCCACACGCGGGGCAGCCCCAGAGGGCCCGAGACGGCCATGAAGGCACCCCTGGCTGCCAGCCGGCCAAACCCTCCACCACTGGAGGACTCTGGGAGAGGGCAGTGCCTTCACGGACCCTCTGGTACCAAGCGGAGAAACCAGGAGACACAGGGAGAGGAAAGTGTGAATCGAACCAGCATTTATTTTTAACACGGTATTTCCACGAGATGAGCTAAGCAGGGCCTGTGAGGCCCAGGGCAGACAGAGCAGGTCTGTGCGGACGGGCTGTAAGTGGAGCAGCTGGCATTCCAGCACCGACAGCCCAAGAAACCGGAGCAGCCCCCAGGGAGTGGAGAGGCTGGGGGCTCCGGGGGGATTATGATGAAGTGTTTTCAGTGGGCAGGGCCTCTCCCTGCCAGCCTCAGAGCATGACGAAGGGGCACTTTTCAAGGAGGATGACGGCAGGGGAGCTGGTTTATTTCGGTGGAGTGGGTCAGATGATGGGAGATTTCAGACCACAAAATGCTTTTAGAGCTTGGATCAGAGGAGAGGAAAATGTGACTTAAGTGCAATGGAGCAAATAATAAAAAATGAATAAAAAATAACCGCGCACACACACACATCTATATTCATCGACACACTGGAACCCGAGCGCGCCCTTGATTCACATACACCTGGCGCCCAGTCTGAAGGCTCCTTTCGCCGGAGCAGCAGACAACGCAGGCCTGGAGGGACACGAGAAGACAGCCGTGGGAAACTGAGGCCTGGGGGCGTAGAAGCTGCTAAGTCAATGAGAAGGCCCTGCAGTGAGCCTGCTGTGACCCAGCTGATACTACCCAGCTCAGCAGCATGTCACTGGTCAACTAAGGAGGGGCGATTCTGACACATTATTGGGGTGGGGGAGGCTTAAAAGCGGAAAGAAATTGAACAGCCCGCCTGACGCAGCCAGAATGCTTTTCCTCATTCTGCCCGTGGCCTGCTCAGGCCTCCCGGACTCACTCTTATCACGTAGGTGGTGACTGGTGTGAGGGGGAGTCCTGGGGTGCTCTGAGGCCGCGGTGGCCCCTGGATACTGACGTGTGGGTGGTCACCGAAATCCCCAGCGTCAGGAGGGTACCACTTGGACTCATCCAGGGAGGTGGTGAGACAGGGTCAGCCCTCATCCTGAGAAGGTCACAGGGAAATAAATGTAGCCACAAGGTGCACCGGATGGTAGGTCAGCCTTGGGACTCGGGCCCTACACTGGTGGTGGCAAGTCACAGGCTTCCTCTGTGACTCCGTGGCTGATGCCCGGGGCCGAAGCGGACCCCATGAGGAGACTGAGGAGGGGCTGGCGACAGGGAGCACGGTGACTCAGCATCTCCGGGGCCAGGGGACGGGCCCAAGATGAATACAAATGACAGTAAAGTGAATTATGGCCACAGCCCATCGCTCTGCATGCAGAAGAGAGGGGAGAGCCAGGCCTCCAGGGGCGCAGAGGCTGGGAGGCCTCCTTGCTGGACTTGGCGAAGTTGGGCTGAGCAGAGTGGGGGTGAAGTGAGGACTGGCAAGGCCACCGGCCTTCCCTGCCGCGACAACAGAGAAGGCTCATGGCTTTCGGACACGAAGTGGCGACTGTCACTTACTCTGGCCACGGGAGAACCTTTCTGGGCCTCAGTCTTTTCATCTACAAAATGGGAAAGCCATTCCTACCTTGCCCCAGGCGGCACCGCAGGAAATGCCTCTGGAGCTCCTAGCACTTAGTAGGTGCTCAGTAAATGATCCTCAATCTCATCTTGCCGTTGACTGAAAGGTTTCACCCTTGTTGCTAGATCCGAGATTTTCTAACCCTCTCGAGCCCCACTTTAAGAACAATGGGATAAACGTCGCTTATTCCCCAGGGTCAGGCTTTTCACCTTCTACCTGGCTCTTTAAAGAAGGAACACATCGATTTGTGGAAAAACAGGACAGCATAGGCAGACAGGCAGATTCTCTGCAGCTGCCTGGGTCCCAAGCACTCCGAGGACCCATCCTACAGATGGGGGAGCTGAGGCAGAGACAGTGTTCCCTCAGGTAAATGCCAAATCCTTGTGGGGAACAGCACTCGCTGGGGGCAAGACGCCCCGGCCGCAGGTCATTTCCATTCTTTGGCCCACCTCAACCCTAAGCTTAGACTCATTTACCTACAGCCTGAGGGCCAGAGACAGCAGGAGGACCTGACACGCAGTAGGCGCCGGAGTGACCGAGTGTGAGCTGGGCCTCAGTTTCCCCACTTTTACACATGGGAAGGCCAATCCTCACCCATCAGGGCCACTGTGGGATAAATGCCTGTTCCCTCGGTCCCTCTCTTACCACTACCCTGCATGGTACCTCTTGACCAGACCCGGAGACAGTGGGACCACCTGTGTGGGGCGAGGGGGGAGGCGCAGGGCCTCCGAACCGGAGAGCCACCACAGCTGGCACACACAGCCCTCCTCTGGTCAGCAGCCCAGCTCCAGACAGGAAAACAAGGACAATTCGATAGCCAGGCCCCAGCGAGTCTGAGACAAGCACTGCTCTGCTTTCGGCAGAAGTCATCAATAATGCCCCTTTGTTCTTCCGCAGGGACCTCCTCCCTGCGGTCTGCCAGCTTCCTGGCCTCCTATGGCTAGAATGAAGTCAGCGCCTCTACCTTGAAAAGAGGGGTGTGTGTTTCCCGTTCGTTTTAATTACGGCTCTTAATTCCGCATAATACGGAAAGGATGCGTTCCAACCGCACTGGCTGGAGAGCTGAATCCCGGCGTTGTCCCCACAGCACCAGCCCTTCCCACCCGTGGGCGCCCCGCCCCCCTTTGCTTTTCCGTAGGGTGCCCCGAATGACAGGCGTGCCACGAGGGGTGGGTGACGGCGGGCTCGGAGCACAGGCTCCCGGTCAGACCCGGCTCTGCGCCGCAGGCTGGGAAACCCCTTTAGCTCTCTGGGCCTCAGTTTCTCTCACCTGTGAAATGGGGCCCCCGCCGCCGCACCAAGTGCCGGAGCCGACCTTCCCTTCCTCCGGGCAGCGCCACGTGAGGCGCGTGGAAAAGCACAGTGTGAGGACATAAATAATGAATCGCGGTGCCATCAGCCCGGCGGCAGACAGCCTGGAGCCGAGGATGAGAGCACCGAGCCGGCCGGCGGGGGTGGGGGCCGGCTGCGAGGGGAGGGCAGCCGGTAACTGGGTGCTGGGGGGGCAGCAGGTTACCACAAAGCTGGTCCTGCCACATCGCCCATGCCCACCCGCTAGTGCGGTCCTGGGGGGACAGGTCCTCTCCCTGCCATTTGTATAATGGCCGCAGCTGCAAAACGCCCTCCTCCCCTCAGAACAAAGCCCCCTGAGGCAGCACTGCCCTCTGCCCTCTGCCCTCTGCCTCAGTCCTTGCGAGTGCTGGGGAAGGGTGACCCCCATCCCACAGACGGGGAGACAGAGGCTCACAGAGCTGCCTCGTCTGAGGTCACGGCCACCACATGGGGACAAGAATCCAGGTCTGGGAGGCTGGCTGCAGGGCCCGCTCTCCCCAGGGAGACCACCCTGCTTCACTGCCCCCCAAGCGCCCTCGGTCCCCGGATTCATGCTGGATGGCTTCTTCAGCTTTTGCTTTCTCAGTTCTGTCATCAAATGTCCTGAAGGAAGGGGACCCCTCAGCCACGTTTGTGAAGTAAGAAGCCGGGAGGCTGTAAAAGTAAGTGCCGTGTGGCAAAGGGGGACGACTCCCGTCTACGATTCCGGCTGCGTCCGGGAGCTGCCTCAGAAGAGGCCCTGGCTGCCCGAGGCATCGTCTCTGACCCAGCCGGAGCACTGGCCCCGGGCAGGCCTCTGGAAGACCGCTCTGGGCGGCCGGAAGGGTCCGAACTGAAGTGTTCTGCACATTTCCAAACTAACTGAAGAATGAGCTGTTAATGTGGGATTGCTGTCTCGGGGGTGGGCCAAGGTGGACCCCCCTCCCTGTCTGCTCATTGTTTGGCAGCTATTTATCACCTGCCCGCGCCGTCGCAGATCTGGAGACCAGAGATGACGAGCCCCAGCCCTGTCCTGAGCTCACGGTCCGGGGCATAGAGACCCGCCGGGGGAAGTCTGAGCAGGGGGAATCGAGGCTCTGGAAAGACAGCTGTGCCAATCCAGCTACAAAGCTGGTCTCTTCCCAACTCACACAATCTCAGCAGGTAAAACCTGCTCAGGTTTGTCTCCTCTCAATTCTTTCTACCACCTCCCCCCACCTCAGGCACCTGCTGCCTTCTGTCGACAGCAAATTCCTTCCGGTGCCCAAACAGATGAGCAAAAGCTAATCAGATAAGGGCAAGAAAACTCGCAAAGCACGAGTTTGGACAGCTTGCTATTTTTACGGTTTGCATGTGCGTGACTGTGATTTTCTCACACGTGCTCACAACATCACCTTGCTTCCTGCTGCATTTTCCCCCGATTCCCAGGATGGAAGGAAGTCGCTGTATCAAATGACCCTGGTATCTACCGAGAGCTCCATGGCCTCTGCAGGCTCTATTGCTGGAACATCCTTGAGAGCCACTGTTTGGGAAGAGGAAGGCGGGCTTTGGGGTCAAGCTCCAACCTTGCCATTTACTGGCTGTGTGACCTTGGATGGGTCTCTCTACCTCTCTGGGCCTCAATGAACTCATATATAAAATAGGAGTGACATCATCGACCTTGGAGTGTCCCTGGGAGGGTTAAAGGAGGTGACTAGAAAATGACCCGGCACACCGTAGATGTGTAACAAGCGTAGCTACGATTACTTCTTCAAGTCGCGCCCCTTGTGTATTTCTGAGCACGTCTGTGCTAGCCAGGCCCTGTGCTCGGTGCCGGGGACACAGGTGAGTCAGGCCTGGCCACTGTGAGGGCAGAGGTCGTGTCTAATGAAGTGCCCCCTGCTGTCATCGGGAGCCTGTCGATGACAGCTGGCACTTTTTGGTGAGCGAACACCGTCACAGCCACACTGGCCCAATTTGGTGCCTTGTGACTTCTGGCTGCACCCCACATGGAACCAGACACACAAGGAAATCAGTGGGACACCTGAAGCCGTCCAATCTGTCACCATGGCCCACTTGAAGCACTCTCACCAAGGGGCTTCAGCAAGTGGCAGGGACACATGTGTGCGTGTGGTGAGGTGCTCTGCAAGGGACCACTTGCATGCTGTCCAACGCCATCTGTTTATTCCCTTAGTGTGGAATTTTCTGGAACAGCACAAAGCGGAGGTCTGAGCAAGGCGCCCTAGATGGCCCGAGAGCAGAGCATTGGACAGCCTGGTGGGGACTTCCAGGAGGAGGCACCCTCCTCTGTCCAGGCTCAGAACGAACTGGTCCTTTCCAGACCATGAGACCCTGGAGGGGTAACTCCGAATGAACCAGGTACGGATACTTAGAATTGCACTGGGGGGCCCTGGCGCCTCTCCCCTCCACACCCACAGCCAGCTCCACCCCGGCGGTACCCAGCCCTCATTCCAGCCCACCCACAGCTGCCTCGCCAGCCGCCACATGACGACATCCTGGCCTAAGCCCCTCTCCAGCAGTCTCTCCGAGGAGCTATTTGCAGAAGCCCCCATTTGGAGTCCGGGGGCTCTGCACACAAGTGATGGATTTTAGAGAGAGAAAGAGAAGTCACAGCAGGTGCTGCCACACTGGCCCCACCCTGCCCGGCGAGGGCTGCTGGGGGTCTGTGTGCTGTGTGTCTGCATGCGCACGTCATCCCCACATCTGCTGTCCCATGACAAGGGCGACTGAAGCTGCACAATGATGCCATCTGCCAGGGATGGCCAGCTGGCTCAAGGCTGACCCTAGTTGCCATGGCAACCAAGACGGTGGCCTGGGGCCTTCAGAAAACCACCAGACTAATGATGTCAGGAGGCTCCGCCGCGGGTGGAGGCGGTGGGCCTCTGGGTGACGAAGGAAGGTCCTCCCTGTGCCTTCGTGGGACCACGGGCATCGCAGGAGGCCGCGGCCTTCACACGACACACTGTGTCGGGCACCTCGGCATGGACTTTGCCTAGACCCTCACGTCTCCTCACCCTTCCAGGCCATCTCAGGGTTTCCCTCTCAGAACTGTTCAGGGGGGACTGTGCCCCCCTGGGTCCCCGCTGCGTCTGGCACCCGGCTCGGCTGGCGGCCCCCTGGGGGACTGCAGCTCTCCTGCGCTGGCCTGCCCCCCACCAGCCGGGAGCAGCCGAGGCCGAGCTGATGTCTAATTCCCCTATCACGTTGCCCAGCAGGGCCCAGCACGTGGAAAATTCTAGCCGATGTTAAGGGAACAAATGAAGTCGCTTCATTTCTCAGCCACTCGCCAAGGGTTTCAACCCTCAGACCCTCAGCTGTCTGGCACGGCAGGGCAAACAGGAAGGGGACACGAAGATCCTTCTCCGCCCTGCAGCGAGCTGTGGGCACAGGGTTTCTCTGGCACCGTCAAGGCTGCAGCCCCCACCTGCTCAGAGGCCCCCGCGGGTACCCCAGCTCTGCACGCGGCAGGGGTACTGGGCTGAGACTGCGCGGCGCCCACTGCAGGGGCCACCCCGAGGCCTCGGGGGAAATCGCTTGTTCACACCTCCCGACTCTCGTTCAAACAGTGTGCGCGTCTCCCTCCAAAGTAGCTGACCTATCACCGGACGGGACGCGCAGGTCCCCCCGACCCGCTTCACACCGCCCGACCTGTCCAGTGGCACGTCTCTCGTCCGCCGGTCTGACAGGTTCGACCCGGACTCGGACCTCTGGTCACTGCCGCGGGCCTCTGTGAACGGCAGGCCTTACCCGCTTCTCTCGTCGGTTGCCTAATTTCCTCTTACTGATTTGCAGGGGTTCTCGCTACGAACGCCTCAGGCGCGTTCCTCCCTTGCGTGTGCGGCAGACACCTCCTCCCTCTCCGTGTCTGGAGCTCTCACTGTGTCAGGTGCCCCTGGTTGAACAGAAGCTCCGTTTTCTACAGTCGGAGAACAGAAGCTCCGTTTTCTACAGCCGGAGAACAGAAGAGGCTGTTGGGAGGCTCACAGGAACCCAGACTTCTGACGGCCTCCGGCCTCCGTATCCGCACGGCGCTCTGGGCTCAAGGGGCCTCCTTCCAGGACCCGAGCCCCACACGGCCCGGGGGCGGGCGAGGACGGACTAGGAGGGGAAGGCCGGCTGCCTCCTGGCGCCCACTCCCCGTCCCGGTGACTGGCCGAGTTTTCCCTCGCGGCCTTTGTCGCCGCGGGCTGACGGGGCTGGCCAGGACGGCGTGGGACCTGCGCCGGGCCGAGGACAGCACCGCCCTACCCGGGACTCGGCGGGCTCACCGAGACGGGCATGACCCACGGGCAGTTTGAAAGGAAGCTGGGGCAGAGCAGCGCAGGCTGAAGGAGGCCTATTCCCGCAGACGGCACTCAGGCCGGGACCCGGAGGCCTCCCTGCCCCTCAGACCGCCTCAAAGTGGGGCTCCGTCTTCTGCAAGAATCTTAACTGATACACATCTAGTCAGAACTGGAAATCAAAGTGCCAGGACCGAACCCCGATCCTGAGTCATTATGAAAAGGCGGAGCAGCATAAGGACTTTCGGGCCTCAGTTTCCCCAATCTGTGAGACGGGGATAATCACCCAGCTCTTCACCTCAGCTGACTGGTACCAAACACCTCCAGGCCTCTTGGCGGAAGCAGGGCGCTGTGACCCTGCTGTTTTGCCCCCAAGGACATTGTGAATGAGAGGCCAGGAAACAGTACACTCGACAGAAATAACAAGTATCGAAGAATAATGGCGGCGGCTCCACGCTGCCTCGAGGAGGCTGGACTTGGTGGAGACAATAGCAAAGAAGAAAGAAGGGTACAGGCAGGAAGGAAAGAAAGAAATCACCTGACAGTATCAGCGGCTGTGGTTGGAAAACAGACACGGGGAAAAATGAATTAAGTGTTCGCTGTAAAATTTACACAGGAAAGGACAAACCTTGCTAGGAACAGTTTCCATAAAAATGAAAAACATGAATAGCTAACCGAGCCATATAAAGATCTGCTTACGGAATGGGTTTAGTGGCATTCCTGAGCCCCTAGCCCCGGGGGGCTGCGTCCTGGTTCTTTGACAAGAGAAGGACCCACAGCAGGCGCCCCGCCCACTCACCGTGGTGATGAACCTGTACAGGGGCTGTCGTCTCTCTGTGTACTTGACCGTGATGGGGCTGAGGTCATATCGGAACCAGATGGCAGGGATGATGCGGCCCGTGTGGCTATAGGCGACGTACTCCTGGGGTGGGGGAAGAGACAAGGAGCGGGGAGAGAGATGAGATTCAGGCACACGAACCGCATCTCACGGTGGGTGGGGTTGGATTGCAGAGGGTCCCTTACACCCCCTCCCCAGAGGCTTTGCCATCAGCATCTGAATGGGCAACATTTCTAGGGGCATTTTGACCCTTTTGGCTGCCTGGAAACAGAACATATTTTCATTCCGGAAGCAGTACCAGAATCAAAATACAAATCTGGGAGCAGAAACTAAAAAGGACAAGTGCGATTTGGGCTCAGTCTGAGTAAAGGCCCACCTCCCACCTCAAGTCCTGGGCCAGGCAAAGCCCATTAATTTATTGAGCAAGTTTCCTGAGCACCTCTCCTATGCGCTGGCTGCTGGGGACCCCGAGGGGAGTGAGCCCTGCCCCTTCCCCAGAGGGTCACGGTCTGGGGACGGCAGATGTAACGATACGTGTAATTCTGTGACACTGCACATGCGTGACAGAGGGACACGGGGTGGTGGGGAGCAGCGAACAAATGACTGAGTCTCCCAGGGTCGTCTGGAAGGCTTGGCGAGGAGGGGACGTTCTGTGTCACATGTGACACCCTGAGGAGTGTGTGTGTGAGAGAGAGACAGAGAGACGGGTCTGAAGGCCACGTGGGCAGTGGGCTTCTCTGAAGGAGCACTCAGAGCTGGAAGGCCAGAGGCCTCGGCCCTCCAACAAGCCTTCCTGAGAAGGCACCAGCCGGGACCAAAAGGATGCTAAGGGGCTGAAGGAACCCTGTGTCCTCTCTGGTCGGGGTGCTTCAGGATCCTGAGACCTCTGGGCTACCCTTATCTATCTACAATAAATGGAGACCAAGCTGACCCCCAGGGTGCCCCCAACCCCAAATGCTGGGCCTGATCCAGGGCTTCTGCTGGGGACAAGCCCGAGACCTGTCCTCTCTGCTCACCGTCCCTGATGGGCACAGCCCCGCCTGCTCTTGGGCCAAGGCCACAGAGAGAGCTGAGCAAGCTGTTCTGGCCGCTGGGCCCTTGCCAAAGCCTCAGGGGAAGGAGCCTTGGGCAAAACAAGATCGGCTTTCTCCAGGGAGAGCTGATGGGACAGGGTGACTGTCTGGGTCATTGCCTAGGGCTGAGGGACACAGAAAAAGAATGAAAAACAGCAGCATCTATCCAAAGCCTTATTCAATGCCTGGGTTTGAAGGCATTGCCTCATTTGACAGCAATCTATTAGGTGGGCACCATTTTACAAATGAGTAAACTAAGGCACAGAGTGGTTATGTGACTTAGTGACCGAGCGGGTCTGAACCGGCAGTCTCCTCCCCGGCCCACTCTCTCTGCTCAGACCGTATTCACATTCTCCCATCTGTCGCTGGCAGCACCTGAGGGGGACAGTAACAGGCCCTCTAAGACACAGAATAAAAGAGACGGGTTTCCTTTTGGACAGTTGCACCAGAACATCAGCTCGGATGGATCAGAGCAGAGGGACCTCAAGTCACCCGAGAGGGAGGAACACCCAGCCTGGCAGACTCTTGCCCCTTGCTCAGAATGAACGGTGATGTGGTCAGGAGGCCAGGCTCTGGAGCCCCAGGAGAACCCAGTTCTAATCCCCACTTGGCCATTTTGTAGCTCGACAACCACCTTTCTGTGTCTCAGTGGCCAGATCTGTAAAATGGGGACAATAATAGTCCTGATGTCATCCAAGCTGTCATGATGACTGAAAAGGATGATGGATGGAAGTAGAGAGCTTAGCATCACGTCCAACCCATTATAGGTGCTCGATAAATGATAGCTACTACTCTTACTATTATTATTAATTAAGCTAAACACTATACCACTTGTAAGGGGTTTGGGCAGCCCTGGAACAGATAAAAAGAAGGAAAAAAAAGGAGAGTCCCAGTGGTAAAGGGGTCTATTGCGGGGACCTCAACCAACATGCTTCCGACATGCATGTGCCACTGGCAGGGTCCTCTCCAGGGAAGTCTGAGGCCCTTGGCTTGAAACCACTAACTGTTGGTCACCCCATCCCGCTGGCTCTGACCTTGCCCCGCTTCCCACTGAGGCCTGCCTGCTTCTCCGTGACTTTGAGTGTTGGGGTCCTGGGACATTCCTGTTAATCAGTGGCCATTCCTGTGACTCAAGAGTCTCATGATTTTGGATAAAGTGCTTGTGCCCTGAAAGCCAGAGTGTCTGTCACATGCTGACCAATCAGGGTCCTGAGTCTGAGGGACCAGGGCCAGATGCAGGGCTGTGGAGACATCTGCAACCACTGGACCCATTTGGGAGGCCAAATCGAGCCGACACTTGTCGCCTCTGCTCTGGCCAGCAGAGGGCGCTGTTGCACGCAACCGTCCGTACCTTGTTGGCCACGGTGTACTGGTATGAGTACCGCTGTTTGCCACTCTTGTCTTCGTAAACCGTGGGCACGATCTTCAAGATGTAGTCGTGGGAGGCGAGGGCTGCGGGAAGGACAGAGTAGAACGAAGCTGCCTGGCTGGCTGGCAGGTCTGTGTCATTTCAACCTTAAACCAGCTGGGCATCATGGGGGATGGGAGATGGAGTGAAAACCCAGTCTCCACATTTTCATCACCAAAAGCCTCCCCCTTCATTTTCTCTCTTTGACACCAGAAATTAAAAGACCCCACCTGTCAGGATCTTTACTCCTGTGTTTAACATTAACATTCTGGAAACTACGCAATAGCCATCAATAGGGTAACCTATAGGGTGGGTGCGGGGAGAGGCAACTTTCCAAGAGGAACTGTTACATAAAAAGAACCAAGTTACATAACAGGGTGAATAACATTTCCGTGCACTGGGGGCAGGGAAGGCTCACGCATGCCACATGCAATAATAAATACATACAAGAATGTTCTGGAAAGATACCCAAAGAACTATTAGCAGTTTTAGCCTCTCGGGAGGAAGGCAGAACGTGATAAAGATTACCTTTCATTGTGTACCCTCTGGTCCTGTTACTTTTGAAACCAACTGGCTTTAGGTTTTAAAAAGAAAGAGCCCACAAACCAGAAAAACGGCACCCGTGAAAAATGGATTAATTTCTTTCCCCACTTTCAATTAATGGGAGATCTGTTCCCCTCCACCTGGACCTGTCGTATTTTTCCACTGCGACTCTCAGCCCCACCCCCATGCAGAGGGCAGAGACCAGGGCTTACTCATCTCCATGTCCCCAGAACCCTGCACAGGGCCTGGTACGGAGCGGACCGTGGCAGATGCTTATTGAATGAATGAACGGATGGAGGGATGACTGATCAGAGGCATGAATGGGAGAGCAGATGAATCAGCTTCTGATAAGCATGAGGTAACCGGAATCAAACACGAGGCTGATACAACGCTGGCCCAGAGCTGCCAGATATCACCCGGGGAAGGAATGAACCCCTTGGGCCTCCTGGGATGCTGAGAGCAGCTCAAGAACCCCTCCATTCCTGCCTCTGGGACCGCAAGTCAGGGACCGCGGAGCTGAAATATCACAGAAGTGGAGGCCTGAGGGTCCCGATCCTGGTCCCCTGGCTGAGTCAGTCCTGAGCCGTGCATTCATCTTTTGTAAGAGGTGGGGGTGCAGGTGGTGTTCACACCTCTTCCTGCTAGTGCTGAGTCTCAGGAAGGAAGGGACAGGGCTTCCCGAACAGTCTTCAGACCTGAGTCCCCTGAAAACCCGAGAAGAGCCCTGCAGCCTCCCGGCTAAGCCCCTAGTGGCCGGAAGTGGTCCCCAGAGAGCAAAGGCAGTGGAGTCGCCCAGGAAAGGCAGACACCTGGGCCTCATCCCCAAACATTCCTGCTCAGTGGACCTGGGGTGGGGCCCACAGTCTCTCTGCTCAAGACCACACCTGACATACAGTGTTCAGAGTACCCATCGCCCCAGGTTAACAACTCGAAGGCCTGAGAAACCAGCCCTGTAACAGCTCTGCTAACCAGAACGGAGTCCCCAGAGACGAGGGGCAGCAGGAGGAGGGGAGGCAAAGGGGTCAGATATACGGTGACGGAAGGAGACTAGACTCTGGGTGGTGAGCACTCAATGGAGTACTCCATGTTGGGTTCTAAAGCTGTAGACTTGAAATTTTCTATAATGCTATTGACCGATGCTATAATGCTATTACCCCAGTAAGTTTCAAATAAATGTAAAATAGTTCTATGAAAATCTGTACACAAAAAACCCAAACAAACAGGGAATCATAAAGAAAAGAAATAAAAACCACTCACAAATCCACCATCCACAGGAAACGTGGATCCGCAACCTTGTGTATAAACTGCCAGACTTGTATTTGCAGATGTATTTGTGTTTTCCTAAACCTGGCCCATACTGGACCTTTTTCTAACTGACCCCACAGACACCGGAGCGTGGCTCCACAGTGTCAGTATAAGCGCTGTGTCTGGCACATAGTAGGTGCTCAGTAAATGTTTGCTGCCTCAATGCTGGTGAGGTTCTGACATGCCTCGGTCGTACAATGTACTCAACCAGGCCTCCAAGGTCAGACACAGGCATTGTTCCTCATTTTCACTCTTGTAAACAATGACGTAATGAACATCATTTTCCTAAGTCATTGGACACTCTTTTAATTATTTCCCTAGGTTACTTATTTCCTTCGCTTTTGCATGAGTAGAATCGATGACTCAAATGCAATGACCATTTTTAAGCCTTTGCTACAATTTGCCCAGTGTCCACTACAGCACCTAACACACCTACACAATTCCTTGTCCGCTGATCCCTCCTGGGGGGCTGGGGGCTCCAACCCCATCCACACGGGCCCACATGCCCTCCAGCCCTTCACGCATCTTATTATGGAGAAGTTCACACAGAAAAAACAGAGGACCGTGTATCAACACCCATGTACCCCTTCCCCAGAGTCCACAATGGACAAGGGCCAATTCTGCTTCATCTCTACCCCACTAGTCCCGCCCCATCTCATTCTGCAGCTAATCCCAGACAGCACGTCAATTCATCCACAAATATTTTAGTTATATCTCCCTAAAAGATAAGAACTCCTTAAAAACCACCACCAACACCACCGCAGCACAGCTCAAATACCAACAGCCAGTCATCAGTATCTTCAAAGAGAGTGATCTGAGCTAAGAAGAAAAACAGGTTTGCTCCTTAGGAGGAGCGGAGTTTACTTTAGATAAGGTGGTCAGGGAGGGCCTCTGGGAGGTGGCATTTGCACCGAACCTGAATGACAACAAGCAGCCCTCATGGGAAGACCTGAGGGCAGAGAGACCCTCAGAAGCAAAGGCCCAGCAGGGGGACCCAGTCTTAGAGCTGCGGAAGTAAAAGCCAGCCGACCCCTGGCTGTCTGCTGCCTGACCTAACGCATTTTTCTTGCCTTCTGCCCGTGCCTCCATCGGCCCGCGGGCCCAGAGCCTTCCTAGCTTGATCGGTTTCCCATCTCAGGCAGCGGAGGGGTCCATGCTAACTGCAAACCTGTGTGGACGGCCACCTTGGGACAACCCAAGGGCCGTGCACAGACCCACGGCCACCCGCCGTTGGTGACATTTGCATGAACACGAGGTTCTGGGGCATGCATACTCGGGCGCGGCTGGAGGCAGCACGGATGGGCACGGGCCGCCGGGAAGCCACTGGGTAACGTAAAGCCACTACCGTCAGTGTCAGCGGCTCACTGCCGTGGTGGAAAACCAGAAACGGGCATCTTCCAGGCAGACAATGCCTGCATTCAGCCCGGCGGGGAGCTGGCCGCGGCCGCGCCTGCCACCCCTGGGAGCTGGGTGGCCCCGCGGGGATGCCATGAGCCACGAGAACCGGGAGGAACCCGGCGGAGAGTGACGCTGTGAAGAAGTGACTTCTGGTGGTGGACAAGCACTCACAGGGGCAGAGAGTGAAAAGTGCGATTTCCCGGGGGGGTGGGGGGGAGCCGTGGGGAGCCAACTTCTCTTGTTTAGATTTCTGACCATTAGAATGTACTCCAAGAAATGGTAAGAGAAGCCTTCGGGGTGAAAAGGGGAGCCCAGGGGAGGAAACCAGAAAAGGCATGGGGACCTGTCTGCGCGCAGGTCACGCCCGAGCGTGGACTCGCCTGCCCGCGGGCGTGCGTGCTGCCCACCGCTGTGTAAACAGTGCTCGTTCAGCAGGGCCAAGGCGCCAGGGAACTGAGCAGCAGGGGACTCAGGAAGGGGTTCAAGCAGGAAGGAGGGAGTGTGGGGGCGGTGGCCCAGGTGGCCAGACCTGACCGAGCCGCCCACACACCTGTTCCCACGGCTGAATTCAGCCTCTGCCGTAACTCGCTGCGGGACGTGGGGTGATTCGTTCGGCTAAGAACAATCCCGCGGCTGTCAGGATGACCGTGACGATAACAGCTGTATTCACGGGGCGCTCATGGTGCGCCCAGGGCTGCGCAGACTTTCCCCAGGGACAGGTCACTGTCTTCCCTGCTCTGTGAGACGGGGCGATTCCCCTCCTCACAGGCTAGCGCTGGGGCAGAAGCTGGACAGCCTGGCTTCCAGGGACCACCTGACCATGGTGCCCTCCCCTCCCCCAGCCCCTCCCGGTCGGATACATACGGTTGGAGGTGAGTCTGTCTGCTCCCCCGAGAGCATTGAAAGCTCCATGGACGTTCTGGACCTGCGGGAAAGTACAGCGAGGCGACCTCAGGATGCCGCCACCTCCAGACCTGGCCCTGGCCTGAGGGGACAGCCAGGTAGAATCTGGTTTAGGGACCTCCGCTGTATGTACAACGGGGACCCATCAGGGTCTGTCTCGTAAAGAAGTTGTGGGGACCATCTGAGGCACAGTCAAGGAAGACCCAGAGCCAGACACACCTGGTTTCTTACAAGCTGTGTGACCTTGGGCAAATTACTGAACTTCTCTGATCCAGCTTTCTCAGCAGGAAAATAAATCCCACCCCGCGTCCTTGGGGGAGTCTTTGAGAGAGTTGAAGAAGGGGTCACCTACAAGGCTGTTCTCTAAGCGACAAAGGGTAGGCTTCAGTGCAGGCTGGAGGTCAAGAGCGAGGAGGGTGTGGTGTGCTGCAGACTGGGTCTGAATCTGGCTGCACATGCTTGTGTGAGACGCAACAGTGGCTGTGCATGTGTGCACGTGGGACAGCGTGAGCCCCGGGGGCACGTCACCAGGCTGGAGGGCCCCCTCAACCAGGAAACAACTCTCACCAGGCAAGGCCTGGGGTCGGGACCTGGCTCCCCCTCCTAGCACGATGGCTGGGCAGTTCCTCTCCCTGAGCCTCGGTTCCCTTTGTCACACAGGGCGTCAGAGAATGCACCTTCAGGACCGTGGTGGGGGTGGAGAAGACGGGACATCGGCGCGGCCCTGCCTGCAGGGGTGGACACTGCTGGACTGGGCCGCTGGTGGCGGCTCTCGGTCAACAGGGACTCGCAGAACACTTCGCCCACCGAGCTAACCCTATTTAACGGACCGGGCCCGAGCGGGAAGGCCAGGGCGGCTGTGGAGTCAGAGAGGTGTGCTGGGGACCCTGGGCGGAGGCTTCTCCGGTCCCAGCTCCACATCTGTAAACTGCGGTGCCACCCCCACCTCTTGAGGCTGCACTGACGGGGAGAAAGCCCCAGCACTTAATACTTGCTCATGAAAGCCAAGTCCCTTTCCCCGGCCCCAGGCTCAACCAGGGGTTCCGAGGCCGGTGCGCTGTTGATGCAACAGCAGCCGTGCGCTCAGAAGGGGTCAGACGGAGGGGGTGTGGGACGGAGCAGTGGCTCAGCGGGGTGACCCCTCTGGAGGGCATGCTCTGTGCCCAGGAAGGACAGACGGCTCCAGGGACACAGCTCCTGTGCGCCCGTCCCTGGCCACGCCGCCCGCAGTGTGGCTGCTCACCTGTAGCGTGTCCCCAAAGGAGAGCTTGTGGATGACATGGGTCATGTCCGGGTTCTGTGGCTGGGCGGTGGCACTGTGCGTGGACACGTGGAAGTTGCCGGGGACCTGGGGAGAAAAGCAAGTTGCAGGCGTTTGGTGGGCTGCCCCAGAGGTGAGGCCCCGGGCTCACGCCGGGTCAGACAGACCGGGGTGTGGACCCAGCCGCAAGCCACGAGGCTTTGGAGGAGCCGCCCCCTGAGTGCCAGGCTCCTCCTCTGTAGAACGGGGCAATGACAGCAGCTACTCGGGGGGCTGCTGGAGCAATGGGGGGGGGCCTGAATGAGGTGATGCGTGCAAGTCAGTGGCAGCTGCTACTGGACAGGGCTGTCGTCGGAGCCCAGGGAGGCCCCTCTGGGACGCGGGAAGAGCATGGACACAGGCAGGGCCTGGGGAAAAGCCACGGCATTTAAAAATGTTTTAGCCCTGGCCGGTTTGGCTCAGCGGTTAGAGCGTTGGCCTGCGGTCCAGAGAGACCCGGGTTCGGTTCCCGCTAAGGGCGCGTACCTCGGTTGCAGTTTGTCCCCGGCCCTGGTTGGTTGTGCGGGTGGCAGCCACTCGATGTGTTCCTTTCACGTCGATGTTTCTCTCTCTCTCTCTCTCTCTCTCTCTCTTCCTCTCTCTCCCTCCCACTCTATCTGTACAAAAAATGGAAAAATGTCCTCGGGTGAGGATAAAAAAAAATAATAATAAAATAAAAATGTTTTAAACTTCCTGTTTACCTATGTAAGTAATGCCTGCATAGATCTGTATTATAAAAATCCACACGATACAGTCAGAACTGAAGTCCCCGGCACCGAAACCCCCACCCCCGGACATAAGCCTCCAGCGCCGGGCACGTGTCCTTCAGAGCTGTCTGTGCAGGGACACGGACCTCCCGTGGACGTGGGCAGAGCTCAGGGTCGTGCTGGCGCCCGGGCCTCATGCTCCCGGAGCCCAGTGAGTCAAGGGGGCCGGCTCCCGTGCGCCTGCCACCCGCTGCCACCCCTCCAGCTGTGACTCAGTGACCCGCGCCCCCTCCACACGGAATCCATCACAGGTGGGTGACTCATGCCAGCACACGCTGGGCTGGAGAAAGAAAAGACGACGCTTTTAGAGCCTGTGACTTAGGAACCTACGTCAGTGCCTCTGATGGGTTTTAAAAATATATAGATGAAGCCAGGCCCCAAGCCCCAGCCCATCCTGCCTTCCTCCCGGGGCGCTGGGGGATCGACGAGCCTGGGCTGCTGGGGACTGTGGGGGTGCAGCTTGGAACATGTGAGCTCTGCTGGCCAGCTTCCCGCCGGATGGACAAGGAGGCCGCGGGGCAAGCGTAAGCCTGATGCTGCGGGGTCCAGGGTGGGGGCCGGGGCAGACCCCGCCTGCCCCGCGGCTGGCTCTTACCGAGCGCTCCTGCACTGGGAGCTTCCCACAGGCACGAACCATTAACCTGCCAAGGGCGGGGGGCAAAGGCTGGCCCGAGCTGTGCTCTGGAGTGAGTGGACACTCTGGTCACGTCCCACGTGGCCGAGATGTCGGCAAGAGGAAGCCACGGGAGGGCCGGGGAGGAGCGGGAGTCTGGGCGCCGGGCTGCCTGGGTTGCAATGCTTTTCCCCTCGAATGTTGGTCTCCCTCCGCCAGGACACGGGCCAGCAGCACTGCGACCCCGCCCACCTCGTCAACCAGAGCCCCAGGACTGAGAACCCCCCCTGGGACTTGGAAGGTGCAGGTAAAAATTTCTGGAATAAACGAACGTGTAATAACTCATTTATTCCTCACACGAACTCTGAAAGGGACGGGGTGGGGATCATTCGATAATTATCATCATCCCACCCACAACCTGAAGATGTGAAAACCGAGGCTGAGAAGGGTTGAGTGACTTGGAGGGTGTTGCTGGGCCGAGAGGGGACGGAGCTGGGGCTCCAATGCAGGGCCCAGGGCTGCCGATGCCGGTTCCCCGTCCCCCAGCAATCCAGCCAGCGGGGGCTCCAAACCCCAGCTCGCTGAGGGCTGTCTGGAGGAGGCAGTGGGCATACAGCTCGGCCATCCGTTTCTGGGGAGGAAGGGGGCCCGGGGACGGGGCCAGGGTCGCTGACCTTGTTGATGCTGAACTGTCCCTCGAAGCGGCAGCCCGCCCCGTTGTTCAGCGGCACCTTCATGGAGTTGTCGATGTGCCCGACTTCATGCCTGCCCATCTCATCCTGGATGTCGAGCCCGACCACTGTGAGAGCCAAGAGAAGAGTCACAACCACCCAGAGAAACGGGGTGAAGGACCGGCCCCCTCCTCCATCCGTCCATGGACAGGCGGGGCCGGCCCTCCAGGTGCTCACGTCTGGGGCCCAGAGACACAGAGAGGAAGTCAGGCAGTGGAGGAGAAAGCGACCCCGGACGAAGAGGGAGCCAGCCTTCCCCGCTCCCCGCAAATCTGCCTGAGGCTGGAGAGGATGAAGGGAAAGAGGTGGGGCAGCAGCGAATGGGGCCAGCGATGGGGGGCTGCGGGGTGCAGGCTGACGACGCTGCCGGGCGGGAGGCTCCAGGCAGCAGCAGAGGTCAGGGTTGGGAGGCAGTCTGAGCCCTGGCCCCGCCTGCCTTCTATGAGCTGTGCAACCCTGGCTGAGGCACTTAACCTCTCTGGACCTCAGTTTCTTTCCTCGAAAATGGGGTGACGACAATGAAACCTTCCTTGGAGAATCCTAATGATCAAACAATTCATAGGTACAGAAAATGCTTAGAACAGGGTCTAAGGCACAGGAAGTGGCAAGTGCTTCAAAAACATCAGCCCTTCACGTCCCGGGCAGTCTCTGCGTTCACCGTCAAAGAGGCCCCTTCCTTCCTCCAGCCCTTCGCTCTTTCACTCTTCCTTCACCCCAACACCCGCTGCTCCAGGCCCCGCTCTCCAGGTCCCTTTGGGGTTGCTCAGTACACTGAATGGGAAACCTGGGGAGTCCTGGTCCTTGGCTCCACTGTGACTCTACCACCCGCTGTGACTCAGCTTCTCAACCTGGAAAGTGGGCAGGCGCAGGCCAGCTGCTCGTCCCGAGAGGGTCCCAGCAGCAAGGTGGTGGTGGCAGGGTCCCCACAAACAACAGAAATGTAGGAATTTCCCTGCGAGAGATGCTAGGAAGGAGGCTGCCACGCAGGGAAAGGGCGACTGGAAGCAGCTCTCAGCGAGCTGATCCTGAGACTACAGATCAACCCGATGGCTCCGTGGACACGAGGAGCCAGGGCCCATCCACCGAAGAGAACGGGACACAGCCACTAGCAGGGACCTCACGGGTCTGCAGGACGTGGGGGAGGCTGTTCCGCAGGCTCAGTTTAAGAGAAAAGCAGGAGGTCCCCGCTGGGGTCAGCAGCTCCGTCCCGGGAGCCCGGCCCGCAGATGAACACGGGACCAGACGTGTGCGCAAGGCAGCTCCGGGCAACCTTATTTGAGACTGACAGCTGGAAGCAACCCAACTGCCTGTCGACAGGGGCCTGCTCAACGGAACAGGCCCCTGTGGAAGGCCGGGCGGCAGGTGCAGGAACGAGCTAAGTCCACGCGTGGGCAGGGCCGCGGCCGAGAGTGTGGGGCCGCACCTCGAGCCAGTTACCTAACCTCTCTGTGCCTCAGTCCCCCCCTCCACCTTCCGATTCTGAGGGTCACAGAAAATCAAAACAGCACTTGCTAGCACTCGATACTCTGCGAAGGGCCTTCCAGGTACGCATGCGCCATCTGAACATCCTCGCGGGGACGGTCGTACAGTCAGGCCCGTTCTCTGCGGGGACACTGAGGCACAGAGACGATGAGGCCTGGATTGGAACCCAGGGTTCAAACCGGAGCCCACGCCCTCCGGCCCCTCCGCTAGAACCTCTCTCGGCCTCAGACGGCCACGGCTCCGGGCAGGGTCTGGCCCGGGCTCAGAGCTGAGTAAATGCCAGCCGTGGTCACCGTTCCCCCGTTCCACTGATCTCATGAGTCATGTGAGAACAGCTCCGAGATGTTAGCTGAAAAAAGAAACCCCAGAAAGGTCCCATACGGTCGGGTCCCGATTATGGAAAAGGAGAACAAAAGAATGTTGACAGATGGGCAGGCAGACAGAACGACAGACACAGGAGGTGGGGGGAGGGTCTCAACTGCCGGCAGAGGCTTCCTCTGGGGTAGGTGGCACACCGGGGAACATGTGTTTCTTTTACTTTGTTCTCTATCTATTTCTGTATTTTGAACATGTACCTTTTTTAAAAAAAATTTAAAAATGGGTTCCTGTATTAGTTGTGTAACCCCCAAACCCATGCTTTTTCCAGCAGGATGTGAGACTGCACACGCGGCATGATCTCAGCGGGTTTGGAAATGTACAGAAAGGAAAAGCCAAGGGGACGGAGTGGCCTGGAATGTCAGCCGATGCTGTCGTGAGGGGTGAGTGACGATCTTCTCTCTCTGCTGCTCTGGAATTTCCAAAGGTACAGTGATGAGCACACATTTTTTTTTCTGTAATAAAAATTGAAGTTCTTTCTTTAAAAAGCCAGGGTGTGGGGCTCTAGCAGGAACGGCCAGGGTTCGAGTGATGCCCTGCAGAGCAGCGAGGCCCCTTGGGCCGCAGCCTCGGGTCGCTGGCCCCTCTTGGGCCGCTGCCTGGAGCTGGGACGGAGCCTAGAACCACATCCCTTCCCTCCCCTGCCCCACTGGTCCCCGTTCTCTGGCCTAAGAATTTCCTTGCTCCAGAGACATGACCAATTCCTGAATGAGAAGCTGCCAGATGAATTCTTTTTCTAAGAGAAAGAGAATAAAATAAAAATAAAACCGACCTATTTCAACAGGTTCCCTGGCTCGGGGCCCACTGTGGATTCGAAATTGTGATGCAATTCTCACCAAAAGCAGCAACAGGGCTGACTCTCTATCTCTGCCTGCGACCCACCCAGTGTTCTGCCCTTCGATAGGAAGGAAGGGGCTTCCGTGCCAGGCTGGGGCAAAGGAACAGCTAGAACCCCAGTCCTGGAGGGGACACCCAATCCACTTGCCCACAAGAAATCAGCTTCTCAATCCTCTCAACAACTTGCAACCCGGGGCTCGGAGAGGTTACCTTAGCCAGGGTCATAGTTCTACTCACCAAAGGAGCCAGAATCTAATGCCCCACACTAGACTCAGTGAATTGTTTATACAAATAATTCATTCTCTTAGATGAAACAAACAAAATAGTGTGAAATAAAAAAGGAAGTTTTCCGAGGGCCGCCACCAGATCAGAGCTGTATCCTTTTTCAGGTGACTGCTCTTGGCTGGTTAGAGGTCTCCTTGCCCTGCGATGCTTGGGAGGTTATATGACCCCACCCATCACCCACACACCAGCCTGCAGCCGTTAGGGGCATCAAGGATGCGGGTAGCAACAGCCCAGCCCCTTGCTACCAGGCGGGACAAACCGTGGTGTCGGTAACACGCCACACATCTCTGCTTGTCCTCCCAACTCCCTAATGCCCTTACAGGTCCCTCCTGAGAGCCCTCCCTCAATAAATCATTGGTGGAGAACCGAATTCTGTTTCTTGGGAACCTGCCCTAAAAGACCCCCTCCCATCAGGGCCACTCTCCAGAGATAACCGCCGTTAGCAGTTTTTTTGTTTGTTTTTTTTATCCTCACCCGAGGACCTTTTTTCCATTTTTTGTTCAGGTAGAGTGGGAGGGAGAGAGAGAGAGAAACATCGACATGAAAGGGACACATCGAGTGGCTGCCACCCGCACGACCAACCAGGGCCGGGGACAAACTGCAACCGAGGTACATGCCCCTAGTGGGAACCGAACCCGGGTCTCTCAGGACCGCAGGCCGATACTCTAACTGCTGAGCCCAACGGGCCAGGGCAGTTTTTTGTTTTTTATTCCAGAAAACCACCGAGTACATCCCCATGTGTTCACATTCTCCCCACAAGAGCAGGAGAATCTCATGCTGGCAGCTTGCCCCGTTCCCTCGCGGGTCCTGGTCACCCCGCCAATTCTGCGCTCGCGGCCCTGCCTAAGGGAGGGGACTGCCGGAGGGAGCGGGGGGCTGCTGGGAACACTCACGTTCACAGTGCAGATTGGGTAAACTGATGTTCAGGCTGACGTCGATTTTGCCCCCGCTGTCCTTGTCCGGGTCATCGACGTACAGCTCGTTCACGCTGAGGGAGACAAGCACAGGAGCCTTTGCTGAGATGGGGCACCCACCCCAGCTGCAGGGGACAGCCAGGGGCCCCTCACGTGGTGACTCCTGCTCCAGGAACCCCACTCCCCTCTGGGGAGCCCAGCGCTGCGGGGCTCCCCCTCCACGGCGCTCTCCAAATGCTGGCCTCCCACTGGGAGGGAGGGACTGGGGTCCTGGCAAGAACATGGGAGTCAGATTCAAGTTCCAATCTTGGCTCTGCCACTCTCTGTGGGAACTCGGCAGATGCCACCTCTGTGAACGTGTCTGTTATATGGGGTGTGAATGGAGAGATCTAAACAGTCAGTGAGAACTGCGGGCCTTACTAGGGACCAGAGCCTGGCGCCAGCGAACCCCCGGCACCTTCCTTCCTTCTAAGTGCCCCTTCCACCCCACTGTGAGGTCGGGGACTCCCTGGGCGCCCATCCTCAGGTCCCGGCTCTCAAAGCCTCCGCCGGTACCAGGCCTGAGAACAAACAGAGCAATGTATCAGTTTCTTCCCGCTGCTGTAACAAACTGTCAGAAAGTTAATGACGTGAAGCAACGCCCCGTGATCGTCTACCCTGGAGGTCAGGCGTGCAGACGGTCTGCGGAGCTGGGCTCCTGCAGGCTCCGGGGAGAACGCATCTTCGGGCCTGTCCGGCCTCTGGAGGCCGCCACGCTCCCAGCCCCTTCCTTCACGCCAAGCCCGCTGCGGGGCAGGTCTCTCCCCTCTGCCTCCTCACTTCCTTCCTCAGACGCACTCCTGTGATTGCACTCTGCCCACCGGGTAACCCAGGATCACCCTCCCGTCACAGGGCCCTTGACACAATCACCTTGTAGAGTCCCTTGGCCACACCAGGTAACATAGTCACAGGTTTCAGGGATGGGGATGTGGACATCTCTGGGAGCAGCGGCCTCATGGACAGCCATGGACCCTGCTGTTGGGGACAACAGCACCACACTGGGACCTGGGAGCCACACTCATTTTATTCAACCAGCACTCTGAGCACCCAGCCTGGCCGGCGCTGGAGGGAGGAACCAGACAGACGCGCCTCTGCCCTCACGGAGCTCAGACACACGGCCCCCCGGTCCGTAGCTTTCACCATCGACGAGGACCGCTGTCCCGGAAAGCTACGGCGGCCCGGGAGGGACGGACGGGGCGGCTGCCCTCCGGGACAGTGGCTGGGAAGACTTCTCTGAGGAGATAGCAGCTGAGGATGTCCTGGCAAAGAGGGAGCAGGGGCCCTGGGGACAGTGCGGCAGAGGTCTGGACGTGGGAAGGACACAGCTCCTTCGGGAACTGAAGGACGGTCACTTGGCTGCCGTGTGGAGCAGAGGGAAGCGGGGTGGGCGGGGCAGTTAGAGAATGGGTGGGGGCCAGGCCAGGCGGCTCCGAGGTCATGCTCAGGCCTTTGCACTTGAACCTGAGCCCAGGGCCCCGGTCAGGCTGCACCTCCCTAGATCCCTCTGCTGCAAGGAGGGCGGACCTGAGGGGCCACTGGGCCTCAGGGAGACCAGAAGGCAGGCTGCTGCAGGGTGCAGGGGACAGATGGGGGCCTGGGTGTGGTGGGGACGCAGAGGAGGGCGGGGGTGCTAGAGCAGGCAGGACTCACTGGTGGACGGGCATGAGGGTGGGCCGAGGGAGGCAAAGGCACTGGGGTCCCGCGAGGCTGTGCTGAGCTCAGTGTCGTGGGGACACCCCTGGGAGCTGTGTCGGAAGCCTGGTTCCCAGACAACTGCCCGCGGGGGAACCCGAGTCCACAGGCCGGCCCAGTGGCAGCTATGGGCAGTGCTGGGGTGGCCCCTGTGCCTGTGCACAGGTGTGAAATAAAGGGGTGCGGCTCCCAGCCCGACTCTGGAACCTTCTCCGTGGCTACTCTCTGGGAAAGAATGAGTTGGGCCGGGGCGAGGGCATTTTGTTTTTACTGAGACCCTGTCCTGGTGCCCGTCCCTAGTGTGACACGGCTGGTACTCAAAGTCACACCCGGGGCTTCTTTCCTTGGGGGTCACAAGAAGGTTCCCAGAAACAAGAGACCTACACAGCTTCGCCTTCACACCGCTGGGCCTCCAGCCCATCAAGCCAGGGCCGGCCCAGCTGGGTCCGTGTGTCCTCACGTTGTCCCATCTGCCCCGTGAAATGTCCTGATCCCCCGTCTAAAGGCAGGACAGTGGGGTTCAGGGAGGGTGAGTCCCATCCCCAAGGTCACACAGCAGGAAATGGCTAGGCCATGATCCTAACCCAGGTCAGCCTTCTGCCTGAGCCCCAGGGCTCCCTTTGGCCCCTCCTTCTTGTCCTCAGCATCCAGGGTCAAGGGGGAAAACGAGGGGGGCCCTGGCCCTCTGAGGCCACAGGGTGTGGGGTGAGAGGTCACCGAGCCAGTGGAGGGCACCCCGCAGGCTATGCTGGAGGAGACTGACTTCACAGCCCTTCACCCTCCTCGCCCTTCAGCACCCAATTCCCACCCAGCCTCAAACCGCAGCTCAGGAGGGTGCCGAGTAACGATGGCCGAGGGCCGATGGCCGATGGCCGTGTGAACCAAACGGCCACCCAGGGAGAGCTCCAGCTTCCCTTCCCAGCCCAGCTCTTCCCTGAAGCCACGCCCCTCTCCCACCTGGGAGGCAGGGCCTGGAGCATCACTGCGGGATTGTGGGATGATGTCATCCCCTGGCAACCCTCCAGGTGACCTCAGCTCGCAGAGCCAGTTGAGTCCCAGGTGTGGTGCCAAGGTGAGCTCACCCTTGAGGCCCCAGGCCGCCCCTCCCAGCCCAGGGGCCCAGGCTCCAGCGCTGCCCGGACAAAGGGGCTGCGGAGCTGGGAGGGTGGAAGGCGCTACCCGCAGAGCCCACGGCCAGCCTTGTTATGTAAGCTAGAACTGGGGCTCCCCGGCGCCTTCCTGAAGGGCCTGGGGCTGTGGGGTAAATGGTTCAGTCACCTGAGCCACCCGCCCGATGAGGTCAACACGGCCACTTCCGAGTCCAAGGCACAGGTTCGGGGCGCTGGCTTCCTGCCCCCCGCCAGCTCCGCAGCCCACGCAGCCTCTCACCGTGCCCGCCGAGGCCAGCTAACCACATTGCCGGGCGGGACGCATTTTAACAGGTCACTTAAAAAGCCCATTTGGAGCTAAAATGCGTGTTTTCTGGATTCACTGCTGTTTGGGGACTCTCGTGGGCCTGATCCTCCCTGTCACTAGCGAGGGTGAGGAGAAGGCCCGTGGGCAGTGACAGACGTGGGCTCCCCACCGGCTCTGCCAGAGAAGCTGGGGACCTGGGACAAGTCACTTCATCTCTCTGATCCTCGGTTTCCTCAACTGTGAAACTGGTAGAACTGTCTATGAAGTTTAAAGATAGGCAAAATTAATCTATAGCAACAGAAGTCAGAATAGTGGTGATGGGCCCTGGCCAGTTTGGCTCAGCGGTTGAGTGTCGGCCTGCGGACCAGAGAGTCCTGGGTTCGGTTCCCGCTAGGGGCACGTACCACAAAAAATAAAATAAAGTAAAAAAGAATAGTGGTGACAGGGGTGGTTACTGACTGAGGGGGGCACGGGGGGCCTCCAGCTGGTGGAAACGTGTGTGGATGGGGCGATGGTGACATGGGCGTAACGTAGACACAGGCAGACACTCCTCCAGCCTCATCTCTAAGATCTGTGCCATCGCTACGTTATATACACCGCGCCCAGAAAAGGGAAAGAAAGACAAAACCGGGCTGAGGATTCGGCTCCTCCCAGGGCTGTGAGCACTGGCGAGGAAGTGGCAAGCGGCTGGGCGGCGGGCGGGCGCCACTCACCTCGGAGGGAGAGCGCAGGCCCCTCTCGGTAGGAGGCATCACGGGAGCAGTCCAAGCTCTCAGGGTTCACATCCTGCCTCCGCCACTGGCTGACTGACCTTGGCCAAAGGGCTTTGCCTCCATCTGCCTGCCTTTCCCCAGAGGTGAGGTGGAGGCAAACCAGCCACGGCACAATCTTATAAACAGTAAGTGCTCGATAAATGTCCACTGCTTTTATCGTTATTAACAGCAGTGTTTGCCGAGTTGACAATCACAGGTACAGCAAGTCTCCGGGGCACTGCGTCGCGGTGAGGATGGAATGTGTTCACGTGTGTAAGACGCAGAGCACACACAGCCCTAGAAAATCCTAAGGCCTGCATAAGGCTGGCCCTGCTCGTGTCATGACCAAAGGACAAGCCAGGGTTCCGTAGGGGTTACTTTTCTCTTCTCACAAGGACGAAACCAGGTTCAGAGGGACAGATCAAGACTGGTCAGGGTCACACAGCCAGGAAGTAGAGGCACGTTCTGAACCTAGAGCCCCCGGAGCCCAGTGCCATGTTCTTTCCATTGAATGACACTGGACAGACCATGAATCATTGAAAAACTGAGGGGCACGTGGCCCCCAAACAGACCTGTGACACGGTGTCACCATCTTTCTGATCATCATCTGGTGGTCACCCCCGCCGATGACCCAGACAGCAATAGGGTATGGAGGTGCTCAGGAGTCCACTCCCTTTGTGCCCCCAAAGCCTCCCCATCACCACCTGCCACACTCCATGGGCAGCAGCATCTGGCTCCCCCACGAGACAAGGGCTCGGAGCCACCAGCACAGGGCCAGGGCTGGTGGAGGAGTGGGGGCGCATTCCAGGTGGGGGACGCCAGACAGCACCATGGAGTCTGGCGGGGGGTGTGTGGGAGGGGGATAAGCCGTGGCCATGTAGGCAGAGGGAGGGGACCTGGGGAGGTATGAGTGGTGGGGTGCGTAGGTGAATGTCACGAAGGGCCTTGAAATTCTCGGCTGAGGGGTGAGTCCGATGACATCTATGGAAAACAATTTTATTTGCTTTTAAAAGAGCACTTGAATAGTTCGGATTCCTGCCCAAAGTCGCTGACCTCCATGCTTAATAACCGGATTTAATGGAAACTCACACAGCCGTGGGCCCGAAGCAGGGGCCTGTGTGGGAGGGGAGGAGAGACGCAGGTTATGCAAGAAGCTCAGGCTGAACACCCTGCCCATTCCAGGCGCGGGTATGTGCACTCTCACCTGCCCGCTGATGATGCCCCCAGAATCAGCCCTTCGCAGACACCCAGTCCTGCCCCCCGCTTATCCACAGCTGTCGCCCTAGGGCCCTCAGCCTGTCTGCCTCGGGTCACCTGCCTCCTCACCTGGGCCCTGGCCTCAGGGTCACCTCTTCACAATAGGTGAGCTTTCTGAGGCACACCCCCCTCCCTGTCACTCCGTGCTCAGAAGCCTGCAGGCCCCCGTGGCTGCCTCCCGCGGCTCGGGCTCTCTACCCGGCCCTGGCTCCGATCGGGGAAAGAGTGGGTACCTGTGCTGCGAGGGAGAAGCCACTCCTCCTCCTGTTTAAGCTCCTGGCCTCCTCGCTCTGGGCCTGCTAGGGGGCCGTGTGAGGACACGGGTCAAGGTGACCTCCAAGCCCCCACTGCCTTCACAGCCACCTCACCCGGGAGGGAGCATCCAAGTCCTAGTCAACTATTCCGACCAAGATGTAGTGGCTCCAGGCGCCCGGGAGCCAACCTGCTCTGGGCAGAAAAGGGTGGGACGACAGGCTGGGGTGATGCTCTGGCAGCAGACACACCTGGGTTTGACTCTGGCTCCACCACTTACTAACCTCGTTGTGGTTTTAGCCTCCTGGTGCCTCAGTTTCCCCAGCTGAAAAGGGGGGCTAATGCTAAAGCAGTACCTACTTCAAGGGGGTTTGTGATGATTAAATGAGCTGATCATCGTAAATCGCTAACCTGGGTGGCTGGCACCTGGTCGCCCACCGTATAAAATCAGAACTGGAAATTATATGGAGTGGTATGAGGCTACAAATTATCCGTGGACAGTTCCAGTTGCTATAGGTTCTTATAAATCCTCATCAAGACAATAATCAAGAGCAGCCAGAGCCTGGGCAGAGGCTGGAATGTTCTGTGGCCACGTTCTCCGTGGTGGTGGGGGGCGGGGTTTGCTCCCCTGGAAAGTGAGGCCTCCCAGCACCCTGTGTGGGGCACTTTCCCAAGCATAATTAATGGCTTATCCAGGGCCCAGGTTGGAGTCCAACCACCCAAACAAACAGGCCTCTCTCCCACCGGGCCAGGCCAGAATAGCGTCTTATGTCACTGATAACCACAGGCCAGGGTTGGAGCAATGTTGATCCAACCAGCGGTGACCTCATTTCCTTGGGTTACTCTCTCATGGAGCGTGGGGGGCTGATCCACTGTGGTCCCACAACTGCCAGGGAGGGCCAGCTGCTCCAAAAAGGAAAAGAATCATGACCTTCCATTCTCCCCAAATCGGCAGGGCTCCCCGGGGGTTAGACCGGCTCCTGACAGAGGGAAGGCCCCAGAGGAGCCATCCTCGTCCTCAGTCCTCACCCCTCCAGACTCCCTTTGGGCAACTTCTGTGTTGTGGTTATGTGGCACCAGAGAGAAGGGGGCATGGGGGTCAGTGCATCATTGTGAATGGAGCCTCCGGCCCTGACAGGTCACTCTCTGGTCCCCACTTCCTCCCTCTCTGCAGCCACTCACACTGCCAATGGAAAAGGGCTCGCTAGCCCAGGGCCGGACACGGGCGAACACTCGATGAATAGCCTCTTGTTTTGATTTCTCCCCTCACCCTTATTTTGCTTCCTCTCCAGGGACCTGGTGGGACCAGCATGTCCAGGGTGCCCCCAGGAGCCAGGAAGAGGAAGTCAGGGCGGTGGGAACAGTGTGCTCTTGGGAACGAGAGCCCTGCCCTGGGTACACAGAAGGATCTGCCTGGCTGGCTAGAGAGGCCCTTCACCCAGCAGCCAGGGCCCCACCTGCTCGACGCAAGCTCTGACGTCTGCCTCAGCACCCCGCCTCGCTGTGGGCCGAGCTAAGTGGGGTTCTCAACTCCAGGGCGAGGACAAGGAAATGACATTCACGGGCCACTTACCATGCACCAGGTGCTCAGGACCTTACAGCCTCCTCAGTGTGGGCTGGGGCAAACATGCAATGAGGAAATGCATGAAGAGATACAGATCTACTGACAACCAATGCTACAATAGGTCCTTTTGGGTAAATAGAGGCATACCTCGTTTTACTGAGCTTCACGGGTATGCGTTTTTACACATGGAAGTCAAGGCCCCCCCAGCAAAAAGATGACGCCTCACTGCACTGTGGTCTGGCCCCGGGCCCGCGGTGCCTCCGAGGTACGCCTGTAACCTTGTGCAAGCCTCACGGAGCCCCTCGCCCGTCTGCTGCCCGTCTTCAAAGCTCTTAGCGCACATTTCTGTGGCTTCGTGTTGGCACCTGTGCCCACTGCCGGCACGTCCAGCTCCTCCTCGTTGCTATCACACGTGTACCCCTCTCATCCTGCTTAGAACACGAGGGGCCTGCACAGCAAGTCTCCTCCCAGGGAATGGGGCGCAGCCTAGACAGACCAGCGGGTGCCCGGTCTGCTTTATAACGCCGGCAGGTCTCAAACTCCAACTCATGATGGGGTGGTCCCTAGACGTCAATGGCCCAAATGTGCGCAGACGGAAAGACATGGTCGCAGACAGATCATCCCCCATCAGGGGCTGGTTGTGGAGCGGGACACGGAGTCCTTTCTCTGACCTCTGCAGGGTCAGGGGTCATGCCTTGGGAAACAAATAAGCCTCCCCAGACCCGGAAAGGAGTGTGACTGATCTACTCTCCCATGTTTCACCAGCCACTCTGAGACCCAGAGAGGTTTGGCAACGTAGCTATGGATCACACAGCAAAGGGGAAATGAAGCAGAGCCTTGGCCCTGGGCCTCCCAGGGCACCCCCCCCCCACTCTGTGAGGGACCCTGGGCTCCGGTGCCATCGGGTTAAAAAAGATCAGAGGGAGAGGGAGGCAAACCCTCTCACCCCAGTGGAGGCAGGATGATACATCCAGAAAGGCTCAGGGGAGATGCAACCGACTCCCAACTGCACGACTGTGGGCAAGTCCGCTGCCTTTCTGAGCCTCAGTCTCCCCATCTGTAGAGAGGGGCTGTTTGAGGGTTAAAGGTGATAATGCTTCTACAGCCACAAGGCCACCAGGGTCTAAGCAGCTATGTTTTCCATCCCCACTGTGTGGCTGAGAGAGGCAGAGGGAATCAAGACATCGCACGCGCAGAAGAGAAAAGTCCCGTGTTGGACGGGGGCGTGGCGGCCTTCTAGTTGTAAACACAGAAACAAAGAGGCCTAGAAGCCCCGAGCCCCCGGCCAAGGCAGGAAGCTCCTGGGTCTGACGCCTCTCAGAGGGGCGTCCGACGAGGCCGGGACTAAATAGTTCCATCGGCATCTGTGTTCCACGAGGCCCCGAGCACTGACTAGGACTCGGCTGGATTCGCGATGTGTCAGCTGCTGCCCGGAGCCCACACTGACTCTCACCAGTGGGGCCTGGAAACCGGGCAGGGGCTCAGCCGAGGGGCCGGGCTCGGACGTCAGCAGCCCCGCCCCCTCAGGTGGGACGTGGCACCATTTCCCTGAATGTTTCCAGCTTTAACATCAGGTGACCCTGTGGTGAGTCAGAGGGAGGAAAAGCCCCCTGGCCAGCCAAAGGGACCGGCAAAGCCAGCAACTGAGTGCTGTCCATCTGGGGACCCAGGAGCCCCCCCAGAACAGAACCCAAACTTCCTCCCCAGCTTTCCGAAGCGGTGTGCGCTTTTGCTCTGACTTCAAACCCCTTTCAGGAAACAGGAGCGTGGAGCCGCAGGCTTGGAAGGGGAGGTGGGAGGCTCTGAGGTTTCGCAGCCCCTCCCCTTCTCAGGGGGAAGCGCTGGAGTGCGGGCGGGTAACTTACACTTCGGTGGCTATGAATCCGGTGAGCTCCGAGAGGAAGAGGAAGAGGATGAAGAGGCAGCAGCAGACAGAGACTGGAAGAAACAACACAGGGACACACAATGAGGGGGGGCACTGACCGGGAGGAGCCCCGCCACACCCCTCCCCGCCCTCAGGGAAAGCTGCTTAGAGGGAGTGGGAGAGACCCCCCACCTTGCACACACCCTCCAAGCCCCTTCCTACTCTTGGTCTCAGTAGGAAGCAGCTCCGCCCCCAGAGGGCAGATTCACTTCGGACTGATCTGACCCTCCCGTGTGGGCCACCCCCTAACAGGCAGACCCTCGGGGCCACCCCCGTCTGCTTCCACAGAGCCCTTCACGCGGAAGTCAGTCAAAACCAGAGGTAGCCGCGTGGTGGCCCACAAGTGGGTTCCGTTTGGCTCAAGTGGTGCATATTTTAAAATATGGAGTCAGCAAGGAACAATCTGGAGACTTCCCGTAAAAGTCCAGATTTCTGGCTACTGCAGCGCACGCAAGCCCGTGTAGCACGTGGGTTCTGAGCTCGCCAGCTTGCCACAGGCCCACCACGCCGCCTCCTCCCAGTGCTGGGCCACACGTCTGTCACCAGCCGCTGTGGCACCATTAACGCTGTGCCTGTGTCCCCATCGAAGTAGGAAGATGAGGACACTGAGCTCTGGGCTTCAAGAGAAGAGACCATTTTTTGTTGTTGGTGGTTGATCCTCACCCAAGGACATTTTCCACTGATTTTTTTTTATTATTATTATTATTAGCTAGAGTGGAAGGGAGAGAAACACTGATGTGGGAGATACACATTGGTTGGTTGCCTCCCGCACAACCCCCACTGGGGCCAGGGATCAAACCTGCAACCCAGGTACATACCCTTGACTGGCAATCAAACCCGAGACCCTTCGGACCTTGGGCCAAAGCTCTAACCACTGAACAAAAGCAGCCAGGGCGAAATGACCATTCTTTTTTTTTTAAATTTTATCCTCACCCGAGGACACCTTTGCATTTATCTTCAGATAGAGTGGGAGGGGGAGGGGGAGAGAAAGAGAAACATTGATGTGAGAGACACACTGACTGGTTGCCACTCACACGACCCCAACTGGGGCCGGGGACAAACTGCAACGGAGGTACGTGCCCTTAGCGGGAACTGAGCACGGGACTCTGGTCCACGAGCTGTCCCTCCTGGTGGGAAGCTCACCCGGTCCCCAGAAGTGCAGCTGTCTACTCTTTCCGCTATGTTCCCAGCCTCTGTGTGAACACTCCCCACACTTTAATGGTTATCTGTGGCTGTTTCTCTTACTAGACTGACACCCCAGAAGGCAAAAACTCCACAGCTCCAGTGCTCAGCCCGGGACTGGGCACACCGGAGGAATCAACAGCTGCTGTGTAAGGCTGGGCTTCTCAGAGCAACGTAGCGGGCAAGGGCTCACATGCTGTGTCCCTGGATACAGAAGTAAAGTCGCTTAACCTCTCCCTGCCTCAGCTTTCCCATCTGTAAAATGGCAACACTAGTTGTACGTGCCTTATGAGGCTGCTCTGAGACCCTCCACAATGCGGGACTGAGCTGGAAACAGTGCTTAGCAGGTAATAATAGCTCTAGCATTAGCTCATAGGGTTTTCATCAGAGACTTTAAAACGTTTGGTGCTTTGGGGAAGGTGATATGACAAATGGGTTGACCCTTAGTTTCCTGCAGAGAGAGAGAGCGTTCCCAGTCTCTGCTGCATTCTTGACAGCTGGCACCTGGACTGGCTGAGCCAGCGCCATGGACGCTGAAACCAGTTGTCACCATCATCATCGGTAGTACTTGGTTGTTGTTTTTATCCTCACCCGAGGACATTTTTACATTTATCTTCAGATAGAGCAGGAGGGAGAGAGGGAGGAAGAGAGAGAGAGAGAAACATCAATGCGAGAGAGACACATCAAGTGGTTGCCACCCACACGACCCCAACCAGGCTGGGGACAAACTGCAACCAAGGTACGTGCCCTTAGCGGAAACCCAATCAAGGACTCTCTGGTCCACGGGCCAATGCTCTAACCACTGAACAAAACCGGCCAGGGCAGTAGTATTTTTATTATCATTATTATCCATCCACGTATCCATCCATGTATCCATCCATGCATGCATGCATCCATCCATCCATCCATCCATGCATCCATCCATCCATGCATCCATTCATGCATCCATGCATCCATCCATCCATGCATCCATCCATCCATGTATCCATCCATCCATCCATGAACAGTCAACAGTGCATTCTGGGAGAGGAGGAAAGAGAATGGGTGTTGGGGGGCACCCACTATATGCGCTGCTGGGAGCCCTGATGGACAGCTGTCACTGCACACTCACTGGACGGCGACATGAGCTCATGTTGAGGGTACAGAAATGGAGGCTCAGAGAAAGGGAGAGACTGGTCTTGGGGCTACACTAGGGAGGACAAGACTGGAACCTGTGTGTTCTAGAGCCAATGCCAGAGTTCAGGCTCCAAGGGAAGGGCCCAGGGACACCCCCCGGGTCCCCAACAAGCTTCTAAAACCACACCAAGACATGGGGGATATTAGAGTCACCCCCCAGTTCTTCCAAACTCTGGAAGAGCTGTATGGAGCAGCATGAACGGGTTTTACTTTGGGGGGAAGAGCTCATACACCCACATAAGAAAGGAGTCAGGCTGCACCGAAAGGCACATGCACCGTGAGTCTCTCTCACTCCTGACCACGGGCTCCTGCTCCAGGTACCACCGTCAGTCTCGTGTCCTGCCTGGTCAGGCGCGCACGAACAGAGAACCTTCTTCTCTACGCAAACAGCAGCGTAAGGCGTGCGCCCTGCGACCCGCGTCTGAGCAGGCACCACATCAGGTGACAGAGTGCAGGCCTGTTTGATCTTATGGCCTAGAAATGAATTTCAAGAGCCTTCTCCGGCTGCGAGCCAATCCACTGCAGGGAACAGTGCGAGTTTCCCGGCTCACGACCCCATCTCACCGGCAAACGGCAGTGATGATGCGCCCTGGGAAAGACCCCAGCGAGCGGGCCAAACGCGCCTCCCCCGAACCCTGCGCTCTTTCTGAACAGCCTCACATCACATGGGACCCCTTTTTCGGAATCATTTTCACCCCCCTCACCCCACCCTCAAGCCCCAGCAATCCACAGGACGCTGCAGCAGTGAGCAAGCCCAAAACAAGCAGGTGTTTTTGAAGGTCGGTGCTGACTTGGGTCTGTCCAGGTCTGCTAGTTGCCTTCCTGGCCTCGAGCCTGCTAAACGGGCTCCCCAGTTCTCCGCGTCCAGATCGGAGGTGGAGAGGCAGGGCCGGCAGGCCTCTTTCTGAAACCCGTGCGCTTTGTTCAAGGCTCTGACGGAGCCTGGTCCAGCTGGCAGGTGGACACCGTGAGCACGCGGCTGCTGGGCCGAAACCCAAGCGTCCAGGAGCCCCGATCACTGGAGTTCAGTGTCTGCTCCTCGCACGCATCCCCAGCCAGGGAAGACAGCCGGCGTCTCAGCACCACTGTGGCCTGAGGGTCTAGCCCGGTGCCTGGCTCAGAGGAGAGAGGAAATCAATCTTTGTGGAATGAATGGACGAGAAGTGCGCAGGCCGGGCAGGAGGTGTTGCAGCCGGAAAGGCCTGCTACTAAAGGCTCGATGAGGGTGTTTTCGTCCATGTTTGGGCAAGACGCTAAGGCTCTCCGACTCCAGACTTCTTCGGAGACTGACTCAGGCACTGGACAGGAGGAATGTGACCCCAGGGGAATGCTGATGAGGGGGTGGCCCGCAAAGGGGGCGCTGGACCCAATACCCAAGACTCCGGGACGTCAATGAATTTGTCCAAGGCCGCGTAGGTGGAGGAGGCAAAATTCAAACCCGACCTGTGAGTCTCCAGCGCGCTAGCTGCTTTCTTCAGTTATTAATAGCACTTATCACGACGTCAGGAAATGTTTGTGTGTCTGCTGCCCGGCTCAGCCGCGTGCTCCTCCAGGACAAAGACCAAAGCCCATTCATCACCGAGGCCCCAGGACCCGGGTATAAACATCTGTTCACTGGATGGCAGCCGGGCCTCGCAGGCCTCATGTCTTTCCTCCTGTGTGAGGGGTGTGCTGCCGGGCACGTGACTGGGACGCAGAAGAGACCACGTGGAGGGCACGGGCAGCACCTTCTCAACCTGACAACACACAGGCCCCTTGACACAGTGACTCCGGGTCTAGGAAAGTTACCGTACAGAAATAACTGTGCAAGGAGACAAAAAGACGTGGACAGGGATGTCTGCAATAGCAGTAAAATGGAATCAGCCACGTCCACCCTCCGAAGGCTGGTCACAGACACGGAGGGGCGGGCCCGTAAGGCAGCATGACACAGCTGGGAAGAAGCACGCGGTGGCCCGTCACATGCTGGTGTGACGGTGCCCAGGACCTAGCAGCTGAAGGAGGGCCGGGGAGGTGGCGCCCGCCCGTCTGTGCTGAAAACAATGATATACGCATATCAGCGCCCAGATGTACTTTTAAAAAATTCTACAAGGATACACACCCTCTAGATGGGGGAGACTGGGAAGAGGGGCGAGCTGTCTGCTGGTGGCAGGAAGGGGACAGGCCTTTTATTGAAGTTTCTGGCCCAGGTTCATCAAACAGTTGAACAGGCAGAAAAACAAGCCCCTTTCCTCTTGTGTCCCCCGAATATCCTTTCTGTGGGGTTCAAGGCACAAATCGTCACAGCTTCTGCAGTCACAGACCCACGGGGGTGGTGACCAGTAGAAGGGTGTCATCCGTGGACTGGGGACTTAGCAGGTCCCCCACACTTGACACCTGTGATGTTCCCTAACCCCCGATCAGGAAGCTGACACTCAGAGAGGTGACGTGACTAGCCCAAGTCTCCCAGCTGCTAAATGGGAGAATGAACCCAGTTCTTCTGGTCCCCCGAGCCTGTTCCCTTCCCCAGGGACTGGGGACTCAGGGCTGGAGAAGCATCTGCTACTTCGACCAGCCTGGCTGGGGGAGTCCGTGAGGTCATCCCCTTACCTGGCGACGGCCTGCCCTGGCGCAGGGGACAGTCTGTGGGGATGGTCCCTCTCCCACACCAAGCACTGAGGAGGCGGGGAGGGGGCAGGAAGGCCCCTCGAGTCCCAGTCCGGCTCTATCTTTTGCGAGCTGTGAAACATCAGGCGAGTCACTTGACCTCTCTGACCCCGTTTTCTCCTCCGGAAAGTGAGGTTAAATCATTCCTGCTCGCTTAGTACTTTTGGTTTGTTTTTCTATTTCCTAAATAAACTTTACTGTGGGGTAATACTAGATACAAAGATGGTACAGACAGTTCCCACACACCCTCTCCCAGCTTCCCCTTACCCCGACCTCTGATAGATTTGCCAGAAGGGATGCTAACCTTGTCCGGTACTATTACTCAACAAGCTACAGATTGATGCAGATCCCCGGTTTCCCCATTGGTGACCCTTTTCTGTTCCAGGAGCAGCTCCAGGGCCCCACGTTCCAGGCCTCTCGTGCCCTTTGTTCTGAACCTGTGACAGTTCCTCCGTCTCTCTGTGGCTTTCAAGACCGTGCCACTCCGGAACGGTGGTTGTCGGTGTCCTGTGGACTGTCCCGTCGCGAGCTGTCTGATGCTTTCTCGCCAGACTGGCTTGAGGTTTTGGGGGAAGATCCCTGCTGGTCAGGTGCCTGCCCAGCACGTCCCACCGAGGGAGCGTGACATCCACGTGGTATCTCACTGGCTGATGTACCCTCGGTGAAGGTACTGCCCGGGCGTGTCCCCAGCCACGGGACCATTTCCTTTCCATTCTCACCTCTTCACAAGAGAGTCACTAAGTCCAGCCCACGCTCCAAAAGAAGAGATTAAGTTCTAACTCGGGGACGGGGACATATTCACATGTGTTATTTGGATTCCTCTGGAAGAGTCACCCTTTCCCCCCACTTACTTCGATCAGTATGGACACGTGGACCTTTTCTCAGTTCTTTGGGTGACAAGCCGGTAACGCCCTCATTTACTTACTTGAGCTGGCCCCGCCGGGGTCTCTGGCCTCTCCCCCAGGCCGGCTCCCCGGCCCACGGACGTGACCCGCCCTCTGTTCCTCCTCTCCGGCACCCGGCACCCCGGGCTTGTTTTGGGCTCTTCCTGCCCCGGAATCAGCGACTTCTCCAAGGAGCCCTGGGTCCTTCGCTGAAGAAGGGCACTTAGAACCCCAAATCTGGATGAGGTATTTATGTATTTACTTATTTATTTTTGTGAATCCTCACCCAAGGATTTTTTCCCATTGATTTTGAGAGAGTAGAAGAGAGGGAGAGAAGGGTGGAGAGATGGAAACATCAATGTGAGAGAGACACATCGATCAGTTACCTCCTGCATGCGCCCCCCCAACCAGGTCTGGGGGTCGACCCTACAACCCAGGTACATGCCCTTGACCAGGCATCAAACCTGAGACCCTTTGGGTCTCAGGCCGACGCTCTAACTACTGAGCCGCACAAGCCAGGGCAGATTTTTATTTTTTTTAAATGGTTAAAAATATGCTTATGTTGCCCTGATCGGTATTCTCAGTGGTTAGAGCATTGGCCCGTGGAAGGAAGGGCCACAGGTTCGATTCCCAGACAAAAGCACATACCTGGGTTGTAGGTTCGATCCCCAGCCCTGGTCAGGGTCATGAGTGAGGCAACCAATCGATGTGTCTCTCTCACATCCATGTTTCTCTCTCTCTCCCTCCCTCCCAGTCTATCTAAAAATCAATGGAGAAATATCCTCAGGTGAGGATTAACTAAAAATAAAAAAATTAACATGCTTATGTCAAAAATGCAAATCGTTTTAAAGGTCCGAAGAGAAAAGTAAGTCTCCTGATGCCAGGGCAGCTCCTATAATGGTTTCTGGTGTCTCCTGGAACCCAGTGCTGCCCGGACTCCGTGACGCCCAGGTCAGGGTGAGGGCAGAGATGAGGGGGGACTACGTGAAGGGCCTGGCGAGATGCCCACCATTTCTTCCCTCCTCCTGTCTCTCCGTTCCTTCCCGGACCAGCTGGGGGGGGGGGGGGCAAGGGCGAGCAGGCTACTCACTAATGGCCCCCGTGTACGTCGGCTGCGTGAGGTCCTTGGGCACCTTCCTGTAGATGTCAAACCTGCAGAGAGCAAAGGGACAGGGGTGAGGTGGGCACAAAGGGCTGCATCAGGCACAGGGCACGAGGTGGCTGGCGTGCCACATGGCCCAAGCCACGGCTCTCCCCAGAACCAGCTCCACCAAGAGGGCTGTGGGACCCCTCTGAGGGGACCCTGCCCCCCACACTGCCCTTACCCGTCACACTTCCCTACGACACTCATTAGCACCTGAGGGGACCCTGCCCCACACTTCGCTTTGTTTCTTGGCTGGTCTTTCCCCATCAGAAGGTCACTCTCACGAGGGCAGGACCTGGTGAGGTTTTGCCCCCAGGCCCTAGTGTGGGTCTGGCACATAACAGTCACTGACAGGCATTCGTGGCATGAGCTGATCCCCCAAGTGTCGGTTTCTCTCGCGTCGAAGGGAACAGGAGAGCAGTCTTTCCCGAGTTCCACGGCGTCACCTCTCTACCTCACCCTCTGCTTTCCACTCCTGCGCCCCGCTTCGCAGATGTCCTCGACTCCAACACCCTCCCGGGACCCACAGGGTCAGCGTCAGCTCGTGACGGCTCTGGCTTCGTTTAACGTGGGCTTCAGTGCCGGTGCAGAGCGGATGCCTTCATTCATAGGGATCCCATCAGTCGACAGGGGTTGTGGGCGTGGCGGAAGGATTTGGGGTTTGGGACTCATTCAGATTCCATGGGTTTATTTTATTTTTTTTTATTTTTTATCCTCACCCGACAACATTTTTCCATTTCTTGTACAGATAGAGTGGGAGGGAGAGAGAGGGAGAGAGAGAGGGGGAAACATCGATGTGAAAGGGACACATCGAGTGGCTGCCACCCGCACAACCAACCAGGGCCGGGGACAAACTGCAACCGAGGTACATGTCCTTAGTGGGAGCCGAACCCGGGTCTCTCCGGACCGCAGGCGGACGCTCCAACCACTGAGCCAAACCGGCCAGGGCCAGATTCCATGGGTTTAAATCTGGCCAGCTGTTTAAGATATAAGGCCCTGAATCACTATGCCTTGAGTTCAAATAATGGCTGATCTTCTTCCTCCTCACTCTGTGACTTTAGGCAAATCACGTCACCTCTCTGAGCCTCAGTTTCCTCGTCTGTAAAAATGGGGCTACTAATCCCAGACCCACCAGGCTATGGAGAGGGGCGAGGGACATGAGTGTGGGCAGATCGGACATGGAGCCTGCTCAGGGGGCTCCTCACGCACTCGGCTCCCCCTCTGCACCTGACCCTGACAGACGCTGCCCACGGAGTCCTTCCAGTGGAGTCCTCAGTCCACGCGGTGCTCTCAGGCTCTCTGGTCACAGCTGTGGCTCCGGCCCTCCTGGGTGACGGGCTGGCATGTGGTTCCCCCTCAGTGACTGGGAAGGTTAGCTAACCCGATGCAATCGTGTGAAAGTCTTGCGTAAGATCTGATACGCGCCTCTGGTGTGCTCACTCGGATGACACGTGAACCTGGTTTCCCAAGACCTCAGGGGAGAAACAGTCTGTGGCCGCCAAGTTAAAAGGTGCCACTTTCTCTCCTACCAGCTCAGCCATGTGCTTGGGGCCCTAAGGCCCTGGCGTGTGGTGGTGGTGGTGGTAGTGGTGGTGGTGGTTCTGGTGGGACCATGACTCAGCCACCCACACCTACCCACCTCCCTTATTCTGAAAACGGATTCCCCTTTCATGTGAGAGGCCAGACGGGACTCCACCGCTGTGACCTGGAGCACACCACTGACTTAACCTCCCTGTGCCTCAGTCCCGCTGTCTGTAAAATGGGGCAACAATCGTAACTATCGCACAGATGGGGTTAAGAACAGTCGAATTTGAGCACATAAAGCACTAAGAACCAGCCTGGCACCAGGAAGGCTATTTGAGCACCGCTGTTACGATTATTGATGCTCATTACCATGTGCTGGGCCCTCTTTTAGGGGCCAGGGCGTGGAGGTGAAACCGGCCCCAGGTACCCGTGGGTTAGCAGCAGGGACAAAGGAAATGGAAGGAGAAGGCTGAGGTGCTCCATCACGGGGTCAGCTGGAGGCGCCGGGCAGCCCGGAAGGGGCACGTGGGGAAACCTGGAAGCTGCCCACAGCAGGGGTGTCTGAGCAGAGCAGGGGGAGGAAGGGGGTGCAGCAAAGAGCAGCCCGGATAGCGAGAGCAGCAAGAGCAGAGGCCCTCAGAAGGTAGGTCCCAGAGCGAGCCCATGGCCCTGGCTAGGAGTGAGGGGCGTGTCCCTGGGAGTGGGAGGGGCTTCAGCCAGCTTCCTGGTCCAGTTCATACCAGTCACCATCCAGGGCCCACAGGTGGCACTTACAGTTTAAAAAACATATGAGCCCTGGCCGGTTTGGCTCAGCAGTTAGGGCGTCGTCCTGCGGTCCAGAGAGACCCGGGTTCGCTTCCCGCTAAGGGCACGTACCTCGGTTGCAGTTTGTCCCCGGCCCTGGTTGGGTCGTGCAGGTGGCAACCACTCGATGTGTCCCTTTCATGTCGATGTTTCTCTCTCTTTCTCTCTCTCTCTCTCTTCCCCCTACTCTATCTGAACAAAAAATGGAAAAATGTCCTTGGGTGAGGATAAAAAAATAATAATAATAAAAAAATAAATAAAAACCATATGGGCCATCATTTCAAAACTGGGAGTTTTATGGGACGTCAGAGCTGCTCAGGGTGACGACGAGGGTGGCCCGGGGCAGAGTATCAGGCTGGGAAAGGGTGCGGAGGGAGAGATGGGAGACTGTTACAGGGGCTGATGAAATGCGCGCACGCCGCCAGGGTGCTGGGGCCAGGCGCAGGGGAGGCACACGGAGAGAAGAGCAGAATGAGCCCCGTGGTGTTAGCATGGAGACGGAGGAATCGCTGTGAATTCTTGACTTCCAGCGTGCACAGTACAGAAATATCCGTGCGGGTACACACACATCACATGTGCACGCGTTTGCCAGCTCGCTCCACCGAGAGGTTCCAGGAACAGTGACAGGCAGACAGTAACAGACGCAACTGGCACTGAACTCCTGGCCTCTAAATGTCATTCTTGACTCAAAGAAACCGGCTTCTTGGAGAAATGGCTAATTCCAGGGCTGGGCAGGGAAAAGACAAGGTGCACGTGGAGCATCGTCTCATGTCAGAAAGCAAGTCCGTGCTCCAAGATGATGGAGACATATCGAAAGGACGAGAAGCCAGCTCGAGGGCTTCCCACTGGCCAGAAAAGGGCACGTGAACACCCAAGTCAACAATCGCAGTGAGAGATTCTAACCACTGGAAGAAAGACGGAAGCCCAGCATCTATACCGAGAAATGAATACATCAGAAGCTTGATAAGGAACAGGACATTGACAAAGTACCTCCCCACAACATCCTTGTTAATTACAAAGGGAAAACATGTAACTTGACGAGAAACTCGGCGGACATCATCGTAACCAAGTGACCAAGGGAGTGTCACCAGTAGGAGACCGTGTCATAAGCCGCCACACCACCGCGCCTGGGGAGACCTTGCTCCAAACGCACAACCTCACATGAACCACGAGAAAACAAACAGGTCCAGGCTGGAGGGCACGTTACAAAATGACTGGCCCCAGCCCTTGTTCAAAGTGTCAAGGTCAGGAAGGCAGCAAAGACCAAGGAACCAGCAGAGACCGGAGAAGGCGAAGCGATTTGACGACCGAACATGAGGAACGTCCCATGTGGGAAAAGGGACATCGGTGGGACAGCTGATGGGATTTGAATTAGATGCTGCATCATGCTGTTTCCCTGGTTTTGACAATATCTAGTTATGCAAGAGGTTAACATTTGAGGAAACTGGGTAAAGGGCATGTGGGAAGTGTTTGTATTTTGTGTGCCAAATTTATTTTGCAAGCAGAATTATTTCCAAGTGAAAAGTTACATTTTAAAAAACTTAATGGAAATTAAAAAAATATTTTAAGGGAGAAGATTTCATGGAAAAACCCTTCTCAGCCTGCTCTCTTCACACCCGCCTGGTCCCTGTTATGCATCTGGATTTGAAGAGCTGGCTTGACATATGTCGGCTGAGTGTATTTGGTGTTAGGTAGAATCTGTCTTCACTGGGGGCGGAAGGGGTGGAGGGCTGGGGGAACAAAGGTCTAAGAGAGGAGGTTAGACCTGGACCGAGCTGCGGAGCAACGGGCATCAAAGGAGGCAGGTGCTCCGGAAAGAGAACGGTGCAAAACCAAGATCACCGCCTGCCGTGCTCTTTCACAGACACATTTGAATGTAACGGTCACAATAACCCTGGCAGACACTGACTTCCCACTTCGCGGGGAGAACGCTAAGTTTAGCCATAAGCAATTCGCTCCAAGTCACCCAGCCCACGATTAGCCACGCTGGGATTCAAACCCAAGTCTAAGGCCACAGGCCACGGTCCTTCCACTGCCCTCCACTTGTGGGGCTCTGTTTAGAGCTCAGTCATTGGTCAATTGAAGTCTCAAGGTTTTGTTTATTTGCTTTTCCAAAGGTGATGCCGCAGAGCAGGTGGGAATCTACTGGAAGACAGGGACCAGTTCACACGGCATTCATTCATCCAACAGATATTTACGAAGTACCTACTGGCAGTGTTCTGGATGGTGGGAAAATGAAAGTGGTCAAGGTCGACCCGGCCCCTGCCTTCACGAAGCTGCCGATCTATCAATGCCTTTGGCTCCCTGTGAGGGCCACCTAAACAGAATGTTCTCTGATAATCACCCCATTCCCCGCCGCAAAATCTGCCTTCATGAAGCTGCCGATCTATCAATGCCTTTGGCTCCCTGTGAGGGCCACCTAAACAGAATGTTCTCTGATAATCACCCCATTCCCCGCCGCAAAATCTGCCTTCATGAAGCTGCCGATCTATCAATGCCTTTGGCTCCCTGTGAGGGCCACCTAAACAGAATGTTCTCTGATAATCACCCCATTCCCACGCCGCAAAATCCGAGCTGGGGAGTGATGGTGGGGTAAAGGGAGAGCTGAGAAAGACCCCGGGTTCAGAGCTGCCCACAAGCCAAGTGAGTCAGCAGTGAATGTCACGAAGAAAATGGGCCA